AAAGCCCCACCGCCACCTACGGCGTCGTTTCTGACTCCTTCGATGTCAATTCCGAAACCACAAACGTAGAAACCGGCGATATTCGCGGCAACGGATTGGAATTCAATTACAGAGCCCAGACCGTGCTCCTGCCCGTCACGACGGAGGTCGTCGATCCCGAGTTTCAGAATTTGTGCGGGGCCGCCGAGTTGAGGCAGAGGACTGTCATTGGGAGCGCCGGAGGAGTCGTGGAAGAGACGGAAACGGCGTCGTCTCATATTGAAGGCGAGGCCAAGGAGGAGAGTGCGGCGGAGGGGGGTTCGGCGAGTAAGCAAAGGAGCGAGCCCAATGGGAAAGTGATCCCGAAATTGCAGACCGCCGAGTCATTGGATTGGAAGCGGCTCATGTCCGAAGATCCAAATTGTGAGTCCTTTTGCTTTTCCCTCGTGCAATTTTTGTGTACAAATTCTTCAAGTTTTGATATTTATTTTGGCTTCTTGTCTCAGGTGTATTTTCAGTGGACAAGTCGCCAGTGCAGTACTTCATGGAAGAGATGTCGATTGGCAATTCGTTGCGGAGCACAACCACCCTTGGCAATGAGAAGGAGCGAGAGATAGTTTACGACACGATATTTCGATTGCCATGGCGATGTGAACTGGTAATCTTTTAGCAGTAGCTATTTTACATTGTTCCTTGAGAAAATGTGTGTACAACTCTGTCTTAACTGTGACCATTTTTGCTGCAGCTTATAGATGTTGGCTTCTTTGTGTGCTTTGATTCGTTTCTGTCACTGTTGACGATCATGCCAACAAGAATTTTGATGACTGTTTGGAGGACTATACACTCAAGGTTCACTTTTCCCCTCTGGGTTTGTCTCATAATTTCGCAAAGTTGGGTTCTTTGAATTCTTTCATTTATATCGGCTTAGTCATTCGGGTGCTTTGAAGTTTGTACCACTGTAGTGAAATTTCTGTTTTCATGTTGTTTTTGTTTTTGTGTTAAATTTTGTTAAACCGTAACGAATGACAAGATATTTAAACGTCACCTAACCATACCTGGGGCAGGCAGTTTAAGAGGCCATCTGCAGCAGAGCTGTCTGATTTTGGGTGTTTTACTATAATGGCTTGTGGAGCCACTCTCTTGCAGCAAACAGGTGAGTAAGAAGATAATGGAGCTATTCTTTCACGTTGTAATGACTTATAGCAACCAGTTTGTGGATATTATTATAACCTGATGACCAGTTCCATTGATTAGAGCAATAGCTGGATGTACTATGTAGTATACTGATTGTATTATTTATTTGTTTGCTTCCCTTAGATATCAGCTTAATATATCACATGATCCGTGGTCAAGGAACAATCAAATTATATGTGGTTTACAACGTGTTGGAGGTAATTAAGTTATTGATCATATGATTTAAGTTTTGACACTTGCTGTATTTCTTTTCAATTTCCTCTTCAGAACATTATGTTGTTCATCTTTTTAAAAGGCAAAAAGGCTGAGGCGAAACAAAATGTCACTGTACAATATCTTAGAAGCATAGTTGTTGGCAGCAGTCTAAGAGTTGCTTTCTTTGTACTTTGCAGATATTTGATAAACTATGCCAAAGTTTTAACCCAGATGTATTGCAAACTCTATTTAACTCAGCAGATGGACTTGCAAGTTGTCCACCAGAAAACATGAGATTCTGGATTTGGAGATTCATTTGCGACCAAGCTTTAGCTGTGGCTGCCTCAAATATCCTTTGGAAAGATCATTTTATTCATAGATTTTTTTACCCCACTTTCCTGCATAATATACAGAGTTCCTTAACTATACGTACTTATTCATGCATTTATCTTATTAGCTCAGGCAATTACTTTGTCAACCTGCATAGTTGCTCACAATAATGCCTTGTTGGCTTTGCTGGTGTCCAATAATTTTGCCGAGATAAAAAGCAGTGTGTTTAAGCGATTTAGCAAGGACAACATTCATAGTCTGGTATACTTTGGTGAGTTATCTTCCTGTTATGTTACGGTCCGTATGAATCACATTGCTGTTTTCTGATGCATTCCTTCTAATACACTCTTAGTATATAGTAAGGCTGCTTAACATTTGCTACAGTGTGTCCATATTTGTGCTCAACTACCAAAATATAGATCATATTGTGGGCATAGACTTAACAAAACCTTGGAAGCTTTTACCTCGTCTGCTTATGGTTTGTTGCATAAAAACAAATAGGTCTGTTGGCGATATTGTGTGATGATTACAGAGAAAAGATGTAGGCTTAAATCTTAATGTCATATTTGCTATCTAGTTTTTCTCGGGTTTAATCTTTTCATTTGATCTGAAATTTTATTTTATTTTTGGTTTCTTGCAACCAGATTCAGTAGAGAGATTCCACATTTCAGCATTCCTCTTGTTTGTTTTAGCTCAAAACATTCTTGAGGCTGAAGGACCCTGGTTCGAAAGTTTTCTTTCTGTAAGTTGACCTAGACATTTTGACGAGAAACTGTTCTTTATAAAAGAAAAAGTTTTCTTGCACAGCAAACATTTTGATTGCTGTTTTTACATTTGCTTACCGCAGAATGCTCTCTTAGTATACGTCTGTGAGATGATTATCGATATCATAAAGCATTCGTTCATTGCTAAGTTCAATAACATTAAGCCCATTGCATACTCGGAGTTTCTTGAAGATCTATGCAAGCAGGTATTGTCTTCTCAAAAAGTTGTGGGTGCTTTTTTTTTCTTTTTCTCACCCAGTGTAGGATTAAGGGATATTTAGTATGTTTAGATCATTATATTGAAATCTGACCCTCTGTTTTCGTCTCATCAGACTTTAAATATACAATCAGAGGCTTCAAAGAAAAATCTTACATTCATTCCTCTGGCACCAGCTTGTGTGGTAAGCCACTTGTTATTACGTACCTTGACGTCGATTTTCATGGTTTGAAGTCATCCCCACTTTTATATGGTAGAGCAAAAAATCTATCCGTAGAAAAGTTCACTAATTGCTCACAGAATCCTACAATGGGCTACAAGAATTAGGGTTCTGATATGAGATTTGAGCTGTGATGAAAATGAAATATTCAATTTTGTGTGCAAATACTGTTATTAATATCGATAATTATGAGATAATCCTAAACGGTATTGTCAACTTTGTTGTAGGTCATCCGAGTGCTTACTCCGGTATATGCTGCGCATCTTCCTTACAGTCCCCTTCCGTGGAAACAATTTTGGACTCTCGTCCTTTTCGCGATGACATATGTTATGCTGACAAGCCTCAAGGTGTTGATAGGCATGGGCCTCCAGAAACACGCCGGTTGGTACGTCAATAGGTGCAAAAGGAGGAAACACCATCTTCATTATGATTGATCGTAAAGAAGGGAAGTCTTTTGCTCTTCACACATTAGTATTATTCTGTTAATTCCGCGCAAGGAACCCCCAACGAAGAAGTTGAAGATCGGGGTTCCTGTGGAAGTATGCGCATTAGACCATCCGTGGGCTGCAAAGATGGGGATTAGGACATCATAAGGTAGAGAAACCCGTATTTGGTAATTTCCTTTTTCGGCCAGAACATCTTGTAGCCTCTGTAGTCTAGTTATGCATAGTTATTACCATCCAATTTTGTTACATGACAAAGGTTTACTTGCTGCTTCGGGACGGGACTGTATAGAAAGGGTAATGTATGATATCGTGAAACCAACAGTGATTTCCGCTGTTTGGAAGCACTCTTCAAGCATACTTTTATGGAGCGTATCGAACTTTTGACCTATCATAATCCTAATCATTATTTTTGAAGACAAGTGGACTAATAATTCAAACAAGGGGACGAGTTTTACCATCACACTTGCCCCCTTACTCAACTTTTGGGAAGATTATTGTGTGCATGCCGTATAGGGCATGGCACCAGTCTTAATAGGGGGTATGCAAAATGTGAGATATTTTAACATTACATTTAAGTGAGGCTTCAATTAAAAAAACAGTAAAATTTGAACCTGTGAAATTAATTAATAAAGATAAGATCAGACGATTGATGTAATTCGAATAAATTTTCATCTTTATCCGCCTAAACCTTTTTCTTTTTTTTTTCTGATAAAGATGAAAAATTATTGGAGACGGATAACCATGCCAAGCTATTTGGTACATTTATGTTGCCTAATAAGCACGAGACACTTCTGAGGCAAATACTACAACTCTGGCAGGGCATATAGGTAATTTCATGTATTCCTATATTTTATATAGTATCATAAAATCTAAAACCAAAATATATAAGAATATTCTGTATAATGTCGGAGTAAATTTAGGAATTCTCTTTAAAGTTTAGTGAGGCTACAAAAGTCAATGACTTTATTTTTGTTCTTTTGACTTACTCTGTTTAGAACAACCGATAAAAAAGAATATATATTTACTAATTTAAACGGAAACAATGAACAAAATAAAATATGAATATATGAAAAATTAAAATCAGTGCGTATTTATTATTTTTCACGAAAAAAATGTATAATAATTAAATGCATTTAATTTCGTAGCACTTTCCGTTTGGGTTTTTACCGGATAGAAAGTTATTTTTGAGACTTGTTTCTTAAAAAAAAAAAAAAAAAAAAAAAAAAAAAATTGTAACGAATTTCCATTGGGTTAACAAAATGTGGCAATATTTTGCTTATAAAATTAAATCAAAATTGATGCTTCATGAAAAAAATTAATAAAAAAGCTCAAACAATTATTATAAAAAAATAAAAACAAATGGAAAATAAAAGGGGACAAAACGGCACCGAAAATCTCGCTTATTTCGGCGGGAAAGGACGTAAAGCGATAAGAAAAATCTCACTCAGTAGGGTTTTGCGCAACATGGCCCCATAGGAAAATCCCACTGACCTAATTATTTTATTTACAATTAAGTAAGATAATTAGTAATAATTTCTCAAAACTACAACCGTCGGATTCCATTTGAGTTTGATCCGACGGATATACAGCATTTAGCTTCCCGCGGAGTACAATTAAGTGGGAAATTGGACACAGGTCTTTGCCTGCCTGCTTGGATAAAGGGTGTTCCATTTATTCCTACTTTCCTATAACATTGTGAATTCTTCAATCTCATTCACTTCTCCTCTCTCAATTGCTTGCTCACAACCCTTGTGGAGGTGGACTTGTTTGCAATTTTTGCAAAAATTTTCATGTTTTTCTCACTCACTTTTTCAAGTATCGACTCCTGCAATTACAGAAAATACAGTTTCTGTCCATACAAATTGAAGAAATGGTAAGAATTTGAGTTCTTTCAATGAGTTTTGCTATGATCATTGTTATTTTCGAATTGATTGTTTGAAGTTACTTGGTTGTGATTTTGTCAATTTGCGAATATGATTGAATGGTTTTTGAGTTTGAAAGATAAACAATCAAAGTCTTAGTCAAAGTTATGATCTTTGGTTGTATTGTGAATTTTTGAAATTTGATTGGATGGTTTTTGAGTTTGAAGGACAAACAATCATCGTTTTGATGAAAGTTATGATCTTTGGTTGCGGGTTTTGAGAATTTGTGAATTTTGATTGAATGGTTTTTGAGTTTGCAGGCTAAGCAATCAAAGTTTTGATCAAAGGCATGACCTTTGGTTGCGGGTTTTGTGAATTTGTGAAATTTATTGAATGGTTTTTGAGTTTGACGCTAAGCACTCAAAGTTTTGATCAAATCTATGATCTTTGGTTGTGGGTTGTGGATTTGATTGTATGATTTTTGAGTCTTGAATTTTTTTTTAATTAAGTTTTGATGAATTTGTGATTGCTACATGTTTGTTGAAAGGTGTCTTGAAGTGGGGATGTGTTGGTTTTGTAGGTAGGCTGCAAGGTTTGCATAAAAAACAGTACAGATAATTGGCTTCACACCCTTTTACTTAGCAAATTCTTCGGTTCCTGCGGTGTTCATCAAGACCTTCGAAAAAACGAGAAGAATGTGTTCTGCATAGACTGCAGCCTCCGCCTCTGCAGGCATTGTATGACATCTCATTGCCTTCACACAAAGCTTCAGATCTGCAAATACGTTTATCATGATGTCGTTCGCCTTCAAGAAATTCAGAAGCATCTTGACTGCTCTAAAATTCAGGTTTGCTTCCCCACTCTCTGTCTTATACAACTCTCAGCACTTGTATGTGGATTTCATGATTGTTGGTGAAAATACATATGTGATTTCATTTGTTAAGTTCATCGCGAAGCTCGTACTTGTACAGTTGAATTGAATGTTCTGTATCTCAAACAATGACAACTTGATGTTTACAGACATATAAAATCAACGGCGAGAAAGCTGTGCATCTAAATCCTCGTCCTCAATCCAAAGACGCCAAACCATCAACGAAAGCAAAGTTCGGTGCTTCCTGTGAAGCTTGTGGGAAATATCTACAGGACATGCCAAATCGCTACTGCTCCATCGCGTGCAAGGTAATTGTTGTCGCTTGTCAGTTCCAAATTTTCGACTCCAATTTGGTATTTCGCACTCCATTGCATGTAAGGGGTCAAGAAACATTTGCCTGTTTCACATTTCAGGCATCGGTAGTTTCAGTGACGCCGAAAGACCACCAAAGTCATGAATTCATCACCGTTGCAGTACCCCAATATGCTGAATTTTCGCTAAAAGGTAACTACTACAATTCGGAAACAAATATGAGCGAAATGGAGTCGTCCTCTATCTCGTTAGCGGAGTCATCTGAAGAGATGAATGCTTGGGTGTGTTCAGCATTGAAGCCGAGGAGGCTTTTGCACAAGAGGAAAGGCATTCCTCACAGAGCTCCTCTCTGCTGATGCCTAAACACTTTCAATGATATTTTTGCTTCCTTTTTTTTCTCTCTTATAAATTATTGGTTATGTCTAAGCATTAATAAATCCATAAAACCAGAGCTATGAAAATCAAATATATCTTTCACAAAACAAGATTAGTGTAATGTTGATGAAATGAGAACGTTAGCAAAGTCACTTGATGCTGTGTGAGAAACTTTAAACATGTAACGTCGTGTTATTGATTTAGACTGTCACATTGACGCTCGAGAAGTAAATGTCTTTTCGAATTTGATAGGTTTGTGATGGATTCGTGTGCATTATGGCAACAGTCTTTAGTTTATGTCTTGTTATGGATTGTGGCAGACAGAAAGAGTTGCTGCATAGATCGTATTGTAATTGTATGCATGTTGCACATGGATGACGGATCACCAACTTTTTATCATGTTTTGTTTGCTTGGCAATTGCCAGGCTTGTGGGATCAAAGTAGAATCAATCACATGAGTGAAAAGCTGTTTTGAAACCTGCTTTTGTTGAAAAAAGCACTTTTGGATTCTAGCCTCCATAATCATTAATCCATATCGATCCGAAATTGGTATTGTAGAACTTTTGAATTGGAAGGTCAGTTACTAACAATCACATTCAGAGAAATAGGGATGTCTCGCATTGAACGAGATTAAAATAAGATCACGTGTAACTGTATCCTAAAGATCTTTATGTCTTTGTAAGATGTGCCTTGTCGATAATATGATCAAACACTCATGCTCAAAAGTTTCTCCTATTCACGGTAATTACGAGCTAAAAATATACCCCAAAGCTGAAGGCTCAATATTATGCGCTAATATTAGATCTTCTTTTTTTATATACAAACGATATTGAATAAATATTTATATACAAGCGAGCTGGAGCCCGCCGTATTGGAGCGAGCTCCAACAGAAAACGAGTTGGCTACTCACCGCCCAAAATCAACACCCCAATCGTGATTCCCAAACTTCCCGCTGATAGCAAAATCAAAACACCATTAACAAAAAAAGAAATTAACCCTAAAAATAAAAATAAGAGAAAAACAGGAACAAAAATACTACAACAAAAAGAACGTGCATTCCCTCTCGATTCTCGAACAAAAATATACCCAAATGTCGGTGAGTTTTTCCTTTTTATTTTCCTGAAAATATTGTTCGTAGCATTCATTCTTTGTGTTGGATTAGATCCATTGGTTTTTATTGATTTTCATATCTTTGATTGAACGAACTTGGAGCTAACAGAAGACCTGTCGCAAAATCAAATTCAGTGGCTTTTTAGGATTCATACGGGTGACCTCATTTAGTAGAATGAGGCTTGGTTGTTGTTGTTGTTTGATTGAACAAACATCTCTTTGTTTTCAGTGTTTGACGCAATGTGCTCGTTATTTTAATCTGTCTGGTTGCTGGGAAAATGCAGGAAAGCAAGATATTTGTCAAGTTTGGAAATAATTGTTGCCTCCAATTCCAACGATTAATTTCCATTCTCCCCTGACATTATTTAATTCAGAACTTTCTGTACAGATTCCGGCGGAACCTGCAAATGAGGGGATTGAAGCAGCTCCCCAGTCGACAGCTCCCACACCAATCTCCACGAACATAGCTCCAAATGTGAGAAAACACAACTTTTTGTATTAGCATTTGTCGCGAAATTCGTGGTTGTTTCCCCTTTTTATACTATAGGTTGTACCCAGTGCACAAGGCTCCCGCTTTACGCAGGGTCTGGGAGAGGTAAATGTCGGCTAGCCTTACCCCCATTTATGGAGAGGCTGCTCCCAAGTCTCGAACCCAAGACCTACCGCTCATGGGCGAAGACACTTGCCATCGCACCAAGTGCGACCTCCCCTTTTTATACTATCATAAGCTAAATTCATTTTGTAACCAAAAGAAGTATGCATTTGTGTACGTTTCTGTAGCTATATTGGCTAGAGCAGATGTACTCCTCCTGTACAGCCGATTTCAAATTCCCGCTCCGTATAGTTTAGATTAGTTTAAAGTAAAATATCGCTTATCTTAAAATTTGTAGCACTACATTTTGTTTTGGACTAATTGAGCATACATATTTACTCGGTTGATTTTCATATGCAGGTGAAGTCAGTTAAAGTAAGCAACATCGCGCAAGCCATTTCTGACAAGGATATCAAGGAATTCTTATCATTTTCCGGAGATATTCAACATGTTGAAATGCAACGGTACGCATTGTTTACTTATGTACGCGACAGATTTAGTACATCGTGTTTCTGAAGATTTCGGTGTTGTGTTCTTGCAGGGAAACTGAAAATACACAGCTTGCCTACGTTACCTTCAAGGAAGCACTAGGAGCAGATACAGCTGTTCTTTTGTCGGTAAGTTCCCTTTCGATGCTTTGCTTGTTTGCGTAGATGTTAGCCGAGCCTAATGCAGAAGGCGTTTTTTTTACTACTAGGTGTGTTGTTTTTCTTTTAATTCAGGGAGCCACCATAGCTGATCTTGCTGTCACCATTACAACCGCCAAGGATTACAAGCTGCCTCCTGAAGCTATTCCGCTCCCATCAAGCCCGGTAAATACCATGGAATGCATCCATTTATGTGTTATTTATCTTTCAACCATTTAATCTTGCGGAACATAAACTTGGAGGCAAGATTTGATAAAATTCGAGGCAAGATTTTGATGTGCCTAAAACTTGTCATGTGTGTGCTCGCGCTTCAAATGAGTGGCGTTTCTTACTATAATGCATTCACCTTTGAAGGAGAAAAAGCCAGCTGCTGCTAATTCTGCTGTAAAGAAGGCAGAAGATGTGGCCAGCGCTATGCTTGCCAAGGGATACATCTTAGGAAAGGATGCGATCAACAGGGCAAAAGAGTTTGACGAGAGGCATAAGTTGACGTCAAATGTCTCTGCCACAGTTGTTTCAATTAACGAAAGGATGGGGCTGATGGAGAAGCTAGGTGCTGGAAGAGCTGCTGTCAGCGAAAAGGTGAGGGAGATGGATCAAAAGTTCATGGTATCCGAAAAGACAAAGTCTGCCTTTGCTGTTGCCGAGCAGAAGGCAAGCAGTGCGGGATCTTCTATCATGAGCAACCCTTATGTATTGACCGGGGCCTCATGGGTTTCTAACGCACTCAGCGCAGTTGCAAAGGTGGCTGAGGATGTGGGCATGATGACCAAGGAGAAAGTGGAGAGGACCGAGGAGGAAAAAATGGAGATCATGCACAGGCAGAGGACAGAGGTCATCACTGACTTTGCACAAACCCATCTCGATGAATCTTCTGCCCCGGAGCCTCCAGTTGCTCCAGTCAGTTCTCCTGATGATACAAAGCCCGTTGTTAAATGACCGATGTGCACAAATGAATCATTTTTCGGTTTCTATGTATCATATGGTTTCATACAAGGATTCTATACTGCATAGTCGTAAATATGATAATTCTTCAAAATTCCGCCTTTTAATACGAATTCAGGAAATGGAAGACACCAATGACTAATGTTTTCACCGGAAATAACCGGTCCTTCTCTAACGAGGCTGCACACAGCGCAGCCATTTTCTAAGTGGAAAGGGGAATACCTTGCAAAAAGTTGATCGGAGTTCAGAACATACGTACTTTAGCAAATTGGAGAAATGAAAAATGCAACAAGACACGCGATGATAACGAACAGAATTTTATGGTATCAGAATTCATCCATACCTCTATGCATTCGTGTAGATCATCGCCTTCTGTCCTCACATGAGTCGGCAAAACCATGAGATCGAGTCGATGAGAAATTAACTGGATTTGTTCTTCACGATAACAGAACCCCATTGCTCCATTACTCGTTGGCGGGACGCGTCATGATTGCCTTCTAAAGAAGCCAGGATGACAAGCGCTGCGAGCATTTTTGAGAGACGAGTACATAACCGGAGAGATCTGAGGTCGCCTCCGGTGAGGGAGCACTGACCGAAGCTTCTTCGCCTCCAGGAACCGCGTCATTTCGAGGTTCTGCAGCGCACGGATGGACTTGCACTTCATTTTTTGAAAAGTAAATTGTAACAATAGTCCTTTAATTTTAACTCAATTGAGCAATGGTCTCTCAATTAAAAATCCATTAGCATTGGTCTCTTAACTCATCAAAATGTGCAGATATGATCCCTTAACTAAAAATTCATTACTAATGGTTCCTCAACTTTAATCTAACTGAAGAAATGATCCATTAACTTTAACCCAATTGGAGAAATTGTACCTTAACTTTAACTCAATTATAGCAATAATCCTTCCAACATAACTCATTTTGACAAAATTTCGACGAAGTTGAAGAAAATGATCATAGCTATTGTTTGGACCCAAAATTACACCATCGGCCCGAGTAATCGAGACCGTTGAGTAAGCATACCTCCACATTGTCGATGGAAAAGTGAAGATAATTTTAGTAAGGTTAAAAGATAACATTATGGTTTCTTTTATCATGTTTATCTTTTAATAATGATTTATCTTGACATTTTCTTATGGAAATAATATATCTCCTAACTGGAAACAGGCGGCACAATTCAAATTGATGTGGATCTGGATATGTGGTTTGGATCAATTTTGGTTGACAGATATGCACGGCATCAGATAATGAAGCATGCATGTCAGGATATTATCCATTTAAAATATGGTGATAATTAAAAATGAACATCAGCATTTAGGATGCATGCAACATTTTTGGTAAAAGATGATGGCTTAGGGTGATGATGAGAGCTTAGGAAAGCTAGGTTTTTTTTTTTTTTGGGTGTGCTATCCACACATCCTATTTTACTTCTCACACACCTCTTGATAATTTCTGTCCGTTGATATTCTTCAATTCATCCGATCTGACAGTTGAAAATGAAAAAGGTGTGTGAGAAGTAAAATAGGGTGTGTGGATATCACACCCTTTTTTTTTTTGGTGATGTGATGATGTGGTAGGAAACCTAGGTATGCTAGGCCTTTTTGCATGGTGATGGGTGTTGTCAAATGAGTTTAAAGTGATAAGAATTGATGATGGAATCAAAGTATGCATGCCGTGTGAAAGGGTTTCAACGGGACATATGTTGCTCCTCTTGTATAAGTCTACATGCATAAGGAGACTAACCGAAATATATTAAAGATAATATCAGTTGTTTTGACGTTGTTTTTGGAGTATAGTCGGGAAATGACTCTTTTGGATTGGCGGTCAAGGAAACTTATCTATAAATACAAAGTGGCAAACAACGAAAAGGCTCTCCAATTCAACACACAAATTGCCATGCGCAAACTCTCGCTCTATGTGAAACCTCTCAACAACCTTGAGATTTTTTTTTTCTTTTCTGCCAACACATCTTCAATTTGGATAAACATCACTGTGAAGGTAACCAGTGATACCTTCATTTTGGATAAACAGCACTATCGCAGTAGAACCAGCCGACCGCGGAACACCTTCATTTTGGATAAACAGCACTGCGTCGAGGTCGACTGGTCATCTATCCAAGTCTCGATCGAGAAAGACTTTCGGGTCTTCATTGGCAAAAGTCATCTTATTAGCCTTTTCGGCAAGGTGAGGTGTTACAGTTTACTAGGGCTTGGCATATTGAACGTCGAGTTGTTTTATGATTGGATACTCACAAGTAAGCTTTAGAGTTTGGCATTCTGATAGTTGAACCACATTTACCATCAAGACATATATTTGTTTTGAGTATCTGTGCCTTTATACTCTGATGTTGAATCGGCGTGCTTATACCCTTACAAATATAATCACTGTGACCGAATCTGGCCCCAACGATTTGTGAACTTCGCAAAATTAGCAGCCTTGTCTTCAGGCTCTAAAACCCAAAGACCAAGACGTGTTCCTTCCTTGGTCGTAGTTGCAAGATCAAGACGTCAGTTGCGCGCTCAATGCAACATCAACACATTTTACTCCTCGGTCGAGCTTGGCCGACGAGTTGGCACGCCCCGCATCAACCGAATGACGTAGTTAGCTCATTAGTTACTCGGCCTGCGCGCCACGTAAGTTTGGTAGTTTTTAGGGTCAACAATTGCACGTTTTGATTATTTGAGGAACCAATGATAATGAATTTTTAGTTGAGGAACCATTGCTCTAATTTGATTAAAGTTGAAGAATTATGGCTACAATGTACCTTTTTTTTTAATTAAGTTTGAAATTAGAATTTGTGAATTTGCTGAACGAGGGCTGTTTTGTATTTGCATTGCGCGTTCCATTTACTTCAATGCGGGCTTGACGTGGTACATGGGCCGCCCACTTCACCGCTAATTTGTACCAAAGGCCCAGGCCCAGTAATTAGTGAAATTCTCCCACCCTGTTACCAACCGTTCAAACTTTGAATAAACCAGAAAAAACGATCTCTGTCTAATAAAATTATAATTTGGTACCAAAATCAAGATTAAATCCCTAACATCTACCCGAAATTAGGGTTTTCAATTTGTAATCCGACTATTTGATTCCGCCATTAAATTTGGAGGAAGAAAGTATGGGCCTGTCGTCGGCCACTACTACGGCTGCCACTCCAGAAGGGGTGCAATTGTGCATATTCGATTTGAGGAGGGGTCAGAACGAAGGGCAGGAGTTGGACAAGATAATCTTCTTCTTTCCAGCTGATTTGCCCTTCTCCGCCCAGTTCTCTGTGATCGGGCTCAGTGAAGGACTCATCACATTTACAAGGTTTCTACTTTTTTTTTTTTTTGCAATTTCATTCTATTTTTTTGGGTTTTGGTTTTTAATTAGAAGAATTGGGTTGTGTTTTGTGCAGAATCTTCTCTCCTGAGGCTGCTTGCGACGCCATTGAAGCAGAGAGGCATTCGCATGTCTTTTACGAGGCGGAACCCGATATCTGGATGGTCATGGTGAGCTCTCGTTTTCTCAATTCTAATTATAATTTCGATTATTCTTCCGTTAAGTTTGAATCCCCCTTCCCGCGGTTCTACATTGTGGTAGGTAGTGGAGAAAAACAAGGAGTTCGAACCAATTTGGAGAAGTGATGCATTGAGAAAGGTTCTCAAGGAAGTACATTCGCTTTTCGTGATGTTTCATGGATCGATAAGAGCGTTGCTTGATAAGGACCCCGGTGGGGGACTAACTCGTTCCCATCTGTACCATTTCATCATTGACTATCTCGGTGGTAAGTTATCAATTTATCATACAGTTGCATGCCTACTACTTGCACTAAAGTCCAGTTTTATTTTGTCTTTGGGGTTAGAATTTCATTGAAAAGTCACTAATTGCCAGCATTTCTAAAGCGGTCTCCATTCGATGAGTGCTGCTGGGGTAATACTGAAGTCGCTGTATCGTGCTCTCTCAATTGGAATTTTGTTCCTGAGTAATGCTGAAGTTGCTGTATCTCATATGTGTGGTTTTACTCTCTGCGGCAGATTTTCTGGTTGGGAAGAAACTGCTGCTTCCCTCATTCCGTGACTCTTTAAAGGAGCGTGGAACTGTACAGATGCTTACCGTAGGGCGGGAAGCGGCAATCGAAGTTCAGGTTTGTTTTCAGAACATATTTTAAATTATACGTTTGTGGAATATTTAAGCCTTTTTCACATTCTGGCCAGAACAGGTATGCTGTAATTTTTATCATATTCAATTTCAGAATTATACTGTAGATTATTTGTCCTTACTTTTAATCCAGTGCTTCATCAGTCAGTACCAGTAGGAACTTATCTATCATCACTAACGGTCCTATTATCTTCCTTTTAGCTAACTGGTATTGTTCAAAACTCTACATCTCTGTGCGTATGAGGGCTTTCGCCCTAATTCCAACCTGACTTCTACGTTCTACCGGAACCTCCTAATTCTTGTTTTTAGATGTTAATGCAATATCGTATATTTGTTTCCGTGTATTTTTTAATGGTTTCACTTGTCTTTGCAGTCGCTTGTCAGGGTACTTGAATCTTGTGCTGGGAACATGCCATGTCACTCACTAATCTTGTTTCAGGACCTCTTGGTGTCCACGACACTTTCTCCTGTATGATTCGATCTTAACATTGTTGGTTTTTTAGTCATTTCATATGCCATTTTAGCCTTCAAGTTCAAGAGAACTTAAGAACTGAGATAAATTATATTTTTTGAAATTTATTTCAGAAATGCTAACTTTCGTGAATTTTTTTATCCTATTTTTGTTAGGATGATACCGTAAACCTCTTTGCATATGCTGTTTTAAGGCTGAGTCCCCGTGCTTTATCCTCTGGAGTAAGTTCCTGGTCCTATTTACGCAAGGGAGCTACATCGCATGTTTCCTCAAGTTCTAGCTTGGCCCGTCCTGGTTCTATTCCAGAACAATTGCATGGCTCACTTGGCAACTCTCCTGCTGGAGATAAGAGTTCTCAAGTAGTACGGCCCTTGCAGCCTGATAAGTGGTCCAAAGGAAAGGACGGTTTCCTTGTCAGTGATATTTGGGGTGCAGACGCTAGTACTGGAACGTCTGCCACCCCAACAGTTTTTCTCCATCAAACAGAGGAGAGAATGTATCTGTGTGCCCATCAGCATAAGAGCCTTACCTTAATTTTTCTTCTTCCTGTTTCTTCAGTACTAAAAGGTGATCAAGGTGTTTCTGCAGTGAAGCAGCAAGTTCTTGAAAATGTGAGCTTTCTAGCTCTGCTATTAACTGTGATGCTTATGTTATCAAACAGCTTCTCTAAATTTAAACTTGTCATTGGCATTGCCATGTGAAAATCGTTACCTAAATCAATAGAGGTCAAGAAAGATGAAGTGACATATTTTTCATTTATGTTCTTGTTTACCGTTTACCAGGTATCCCGAAAGCTGTTGAAAGTTGAAGAGAAATTATCAAAAGGATGGGGTGGTGAGAATGCATATCATGTTAGTGGATATCGGTATTTACTAGCAGATGGAGACAGAAATGTATCCAGGGCTTCTCCACCAGGAAAAGTCACAACCCTTACCAAGGTAAAGTATCCCGCTACAGTCGCCTTGCTCTCTTCTTCTGCACAGTTCCTGCTAAAAGGTAGCTGTTTGGTTAAGGATCTTCACCTTGTTCGCTGCATCCAAAATTGTATGATTGTAATCCCTAGCCGCAGCTAATAAATTATGGGCAAGAACTTAGGTCATCTCCAATGGCGAGGGTTAAAGGTCTAAAAGCCAAAAAATGGCCTGATTTGCCACAAACTCATCTTCAACCGATGGCTATGCTATAATTCTATGTAGTCCACCTGGCCATTATTTGGCCAAAGGGGCATCAGGCTAGCCAAATGTAGCTCCCTTCTTAGCCCTATTTTTGGGCTAAGCTCCTCAATTGCAATAATTGATTCAAATTCAACAGCTAGATTTAAAAATATACAACGGTAGTTTAATTAAATTAACTAATAAATTATAGTATAAACTTAAAACCAATAAATTATTGAGGGGGCTATGTTTAGCCCCTTCGGTTGGAGATGACATATGACTATGGCCTGACACTGTTTATTTAAAAATAATTTTTTGTAGGGCTATAATTCTGGACGGGGCTATGTTTAGCCCTTTCGGTTGGAGGTGGCCTTAGTCTTAGTCGTCACTGACCAGGCTAGATCTCATCAAATTAATGCTGATTTATCGCTCCTATCTATTGATTCCAAGTTGCCCATTTTTCTTGTCTGTGGCAGGGCTCCTTGCTTGCCTTAAGTAAGGTCAGAGAAGAAGTTGATTTGGAAAAAAGTAGAGCGAAATCGGATAATGCTGGTCACGAGAAAGAATTGGAAATTAGCATCAGGGCGAAAAACAATGCTTGGGTTATCGCTCGGGTTACAAGAGGGAAGGAGCTTTATATGGTTCTAGAGAAAGCCAACGAAACACTTCTTTATGCCTCCGATGCTGTTGAGAAGTTCAGCAACAGGTACCGCACATTTCCTTCAATGCTGCAACAAGTTGCACTACATGAATTTCAGATTTGCTTTTTCTTGGATCACTCGTGATAACAATGCATGTACTGATTCGTTATTTTCATTGAGTTGTGCAGGTACTGCAATGGAGCTTTCTCGTTGAATTAGAGTAAATTTCATGTTTTTGAGATGTATACGAAGATGGTACGACGAAATGAGAGGTGCGCCCTACATGCTCATTGCTCAGTATTGTGTTATTTCCTCCTGGCTCTGTGCACCTCACGACGAACCAACCGTTGGACCTCAGCACTGTAAATTTCTGTGACATCACACTTGCAAGGAGAAAATAAATAGCATTCGAAATTACGTTGTCATGTATTTTTCTGATGTATTTGCAAGTGTTTTTTGGTTTGCTATCAGTCCATTGTCTATGATTTAACGTTGGGGAAGAGTTGCGATGCCCCTTTGGGACTGCTTCTGGAAGGCCTGAAGCGCTTTTTGGCAACAAAAAAACGTTTACGACCACGTTCGACATAAATTTCTTCTAAAAAGTTAGGGTAATAGCAGCGCTTCCTGAAAAAGCACTTTCATTGTATTTTCAATTGAAATTTCAGCATGTTAGTAAAAAAAACGTTCATGAGCAAAAGTTTTCCTACATGGACAGTAAAAATGAAAGAAAAAATAATACAAAAAGGGAAAGCCAAGATAAGAAGTGCTTTTTGTAGAAGCAGTTGCCTCCATCAGAATCTACACGAGCTTGTAGTAGCGGTTGTCTCCTGAGACGAACGAAAGAAATTAAGAACACCGATAGGTACCCAGAGCTGACAGACAGTTAGTGTTGTGTTTTCATCCTGACCAGTGGGTGACGTGCTTCGATTTTCATCTTGTTCTTGATGGTGGTGTTCTTCGTTTTCGTCGTCGGGATCTTCAACTTCATCAAGCATGACTTGTTGGAACCACAAGCTCATCTCTCTGACCCGGTTCTTTAGCCTCGCAAGCCTCTATCAATCTCTAAGAACCGCCGTATTGTCGTCATCGTCACTGCCGGGGACGGTTTTCAGTGAGCGAGGATTGGGAACGGATACGGAGCGGTGGAGTTTGGGCTTCGGATTAATGGTTGAGGCAGATGCAGCAGCGGAGGCTTTACCGGTTGGTGGGGCAAGCGGTGGTGGCGGCTGCGGAGGCGGCGGAGGTGTAAGCGTGACCGTGGGCTGCGGATGAGACTGGGAAGGCGGAGGAGTTGGGTTGAAACAGAAGGTATCGGAAATGCAGCGGCGGAGAAGAGGAGAAGGAGGATGAGGAGGGTGAGAGAGCTTCTCTTTCTTGGGGTTGGGTTGGGATAATGGTGGAGATTGGGTGGGCGATCGCCTCTTCAATGTTTTCACGGGATACTTGGGATCAGCAGCGGAGGAAGACTTGAAGCTACTGCTGTCGAGGCGGAGCCCGGACAACCGATTCCTCACTGCCGCCGTCTCCTCCACTGAGTACCCTTCTTTTTCCCTTTCTCCAGTGCAGTCCGCCATTGATTATCTGGGAAATGTATTGATTTGCAAGGGAGGGAAGGAGGGAGGGAGGGAAGTTTCTGTTTGTCTCTACCACCTGAATATCTAACGTATATATATTATATAAGGCCGACGAATCAACCATCGAGGGTTGACGATGATAGAGGCCAGTTAGGCGCCAAAACGAGGGGATTTGGATAATGCTTTGCTGGTGTAACAACTAATTAACTTAATGACCGTTGACCAACTATCCAAGCCCGTCTAGCTCAGTTGGTAGAGCGCAAGGCTCTTAACCTTGTGGTCGTGGGTTCGAGCCCCACGGTGGGCGACATCTGATTTTTTATTTTTAATTTTTTAACGTTTTTCTATATAAGCATTATGAATTGTACTAGCCAATTATAAACAATGGCTGCCTGCATGCCATAGAAAATTTGCCGTGAGGTCTTGCAGATGCTATGATGTCAACCGTATTTTTAAGACATAAATCAGTTCCGGGGAATGTCTCACCAAAATATCTTCAAAGTTTAACGAGTAACCTCACGAAAACATGTTAAAATAACCCCAGAATCCCACTTTCATCTGGTGTTGCCTGCCTTCTGCTTCGCCTTCTCAATAAGAGGCTTCAACTGCTTCTTCTCGGCAAGAATCTTGAGGAAGTTAAACAGGAATGGAATGTAGTTGTGCTTCCTGCGAATGTTCTCTGTTCTCCACTTCTTACATTTCTCTTCTTCCATCAAGATCTTCTCGGTGGCACCCTCGATCCCAGCATTGATTTCCGAAAGAGCTTTGTTCAGCGCTTCAAACTTGCCCCCGTCGGCCGCTCTCTCTTGCTGTAAGGCAGACAGCTGCTGCAAAATACGCTCCCTCTTCTTTTGGAGTTCCTTGAGCTCAGCAGTATACATCTCTTTCCTGTTCTTGATAATGGCCAAGAGATTGAATCTTATCTCACTTTTGGAATACCTTTCGATGCGTTCCTGGATTACAGGTTGCACCATCTGTAGCCATTCCATGTCACCTTGCCCGCTGGGGCACTGTCCAAGGCTAATGGGTCCCTCCTTCAGTCCATCAAGCTCATACAGGACCCCATCGACAGGCAAGTAGCTTATAAAATGGTAGACGTCATCATCTTTGTCAGCTACCTTCTGCTCATCAGAAACAAACGGCTCGGGCCTGGCAAAACTATTATGAGCTGCACGGATAGCTTCACTATTGTTTATTGCCAATCCTTTCAGTTCAGGTGGAAAGTTCTTTGTAAATTCTTTCAGTTTCGACAGTTCAGGACCAATGTCAACATCCGGACAGTTCATCAGGATAGACAAGATTGCTTGGGTTGCACATGCATTATTAATAACCTGGGAGGATATACAGACTGTAAGATAGAAGACCTTACAAATATGTCACTGCACAGGGGAAATACTTTTTCAAGAAAACCAACCTGGCTTGCGAAAAACAAATTAGGATTTGGATCCTTAATTACAAGGCGGTTATCCTTTTCCCCCGGGCGCCATTTGAATAGGAAAATCAAACCATACACTGGCCTGTAAATTTCAAGGGGAAAAGAGTAACTAAAACAATGATGAACCTCAAGAATTTTTTTTTCCAGCAAAAATGAGGATATCTACCCAGGAGATAAAATCTTAAACAGAAACTAACGTACCTCAGATTGTTCAGAGAATCAAGGTCCAATGAATACAGCTCCTCAACCTGCAAGGCCATACAAATGTATCATGGAATGGGCAGTAAAAGCAGGCATCAACTATAAACTAGGATCGGTGCGTCCTAAACATAAAATATAAGTATAGAGATAAAAGTCATCAAAGAAGGCGTACCTGCACGCCTTTTACTTGCATCTGCTGAATAAGTTCAGTGAACACCCCTGAAATGCAATCACAACGTTGAAAAAACGAGCACACTTCATGTATATACTACAGCTATTCCTAACTCCCTATTTATCAAAAATAAAAAATTTGCTATAAATTTTCATTAAAAAAAGTTTCAAGCTACTTCCCCTTCTCGGAAATTTGAAGTGCCTCTGCGTACTAACCATTACCAAATAACCCAAATCCTATACACTATCAATCCGCATCACCAGATCACAACTTTCATCACTCATAAGGTCCCAAAAATACATTCCGAAAACCAAACTTATGGACCACGTAATGCTTACTACTATCTATCAATTCCCATGTAACAAGTGATGCGTTTCAGTACAATTGATAAATCCGAAACAACGAACTATACAGCTCCACGTCAAGACTATCCCTCGAACGTTCATATACAAGGTACCAAATGGACAAGAAAGATGAAATCATACCTGGGTCGGACTCAATCGTGCACCAAGACATGATGAAAAACAATTAATCTGACAAGGGGGAAAAAAGGTAATCAAGAAACACCATAAGAGGAAAAACCATGAAAAATATATAATTTATAAGATTTCAACGAGTTTAGAGCACAATTTTAGCAAAAAAATTAACAAATTTACATGAATTAACACAAAAATCAAATCAAAGTGGCAGCCCAACAAACAATTTACAACAAACCTAGTTATTTCTTTATAAAAATAATACGTTGATTGGATACAACAGTGCAGTAAAATCAATGTCGATCGACTGAGTGAGCACGAGAATCCCCAATTCGGACAAAGAGGGTTTTACTTTTCTTCCTCTATTCGGTTCCAAACGACGACGTTCCCGGAATAAGAGAACCAGTGTGGGAACGGGAAGAAGAAAGAACTTACCAGAAACCGACACGACGCCGTCGGGCTCCTCCACCGCTGTGTAGAGATTTTGAACGAGTTCGTCTGCTTCTCGTCTCTTCCTTCCTCTTCTCACTCTCCTCGGTTCGCCTCTCCTTTTTTCCTTTTTCTATTTTTCACAGGTTTTTTTTTATTTTTTATTTTTTGAGTTGATTGCAAAATACACCCTTAAGGTTTTGCTTACTTTCGAAAAGAGAGACAAAATATCAAAATTTCACATTTACTACTTAAGTTATTAAAAGTTAGCAATTTAAACAACTATTATGTCTCCACCTTGGGGCAAGGTGGGTCAACTGAGTCCCCCATGCTTAGAAACCTCTATGTAAGAGTTGGATGCTCTCCTATGAAAATTCGTAAATGCCCTTAAAAGCTATTTACAATTGCTCGATGAATTACCTTTATGATCATTGGGCAGGGTACATGCTAACCTCATGTCTTTGTATGCATGGGTATATGTATCTGTCGATAGCCTCATTCTTGTCGATATGCTCGTCAGTCGACATACTCACTCGAAAGTTTTTGACATATTGTTGATAGACTTGCAATATAACTCGTCAAAGCTATTGAAATGTGCTCTAAAATAATAATGTATATGTGAGCCGTATCTGTATTAGATATCGTATGAGCAAGTGTGTAGCATCACCCTTTCGCAATTAGCTCTACTTTGTCATTTTCACATGTTCTTCTCTTCAATGACTTCGTTGAAAGAAAATTGCACAACAATGTATTAAAATAAATAAAAACTAGCATTTGCCTACAAAATTTTTTTAGAAAATGAGAAGGAGAGAGAGAGAGAGAGAGAGAGAGAGAGAGAGAGAGAGAGAGAGAGAGAGAGAGAGAGAGAGAGAGAGAGAGAGAGAGAGAGAGAGAATATGGGAGGAGTGGGAAGTTTTTGTTTTTTTAAATATTGAAGGTATTTTAACATCACATGTAGGTAAGGCTTCAATAAAAAATAGTAAAATTTGGCCATGCAAATAAAGATTTATTAATTAGTAGCGATAATAATAAAAAGAACCTGCAATAAGAGTCCAATGGACAACTACGATGGAATAAAGGCCATCATGATGAAATTTGGAGTCATTATAAAAAAATAAAGGCCCACAACAATAAATGAAACTATGGGCCGCGGCCCAAATCCTGCAGCAGGGGGTCTAGGGTTTAGAGGTCTCTCGCTATAAAACGGCAGCCTCACCTCCCATTTATTTCAAAAGTTGCGAGGGATGTAGAATATGTGATCTTGCTGTGTTTTTTGGAATTCGGAATTTGGGTTGTGGGAATTTGAAAATATCTTCTTAGTTTTGGTTCTGATGATGATTTTTTCACAAAACTTTCGTTCTCCTGAGCAAAAAACAGTGCTGAGAAAATTGGAGACCTGAACTGAAGAACTTTCTAAGAAGATTATTTTATTTTATTTTTTCAATTTTTTGTTTTGATTGATTTTCTGGTATTGCTGTGGATGTTTTTGGAGTATTTTTGGTGTGTATATGGAGATTTTATTGATTTTTGTTCTGATGATGAAAGATTTAATTCTCCTGAGCTTATTGATTGCTGAAAATCTGGAGACCTGAACTGAAGAACATTATCATATAATTTTCTATATACTGTTTTGTTACATATACATACATATATATATATATATATATATATGGATTGAACGTTTGCGTAATATTACATGAGATTTGAAATGTTGTCAATTTGCTATATATCCAAAATACTTTTTTATTATTTTTAAGACAAATGTAACTGGAATTTCAAGTAAGTAGATTTTTCTTTGATTTAAGGATTGAAATTGCTTGAAAGAATTTTGTTTGTTAGGGGTGGGCAAACGATCTGCGGGTTGGGATGGGTCTAAAAATTTTACATAATTATGTCTGCGACTAAATAAGTGTGCGGAAATCATTTCATTTGTCAAAACAAAACTTAACATACGCAAGACAGTCCGCCTATTTTTAAGGGCCCAAACGTACGGTAAACAAAGTGGACAAGGAGTAAAAGCCCAAAATTATGAAGCCCAACAACCAGTATTATAATGGTATAAAATTGAGGGATGATGTACAGAAAACTAACGAAAAGTCTAAAAAAAATTTCCTTTTAATGAAAAGCCATTTTTAAAGGTATAGTGACTAGTACCAGGAAATATATAAATGTGGTTTTTCGTTAAAAGTGAACAGTAAGGGAGTGTGTCGTTAAAACTCCCATGATGTAAATGTGTTCTCACCTTACCTTAAAATATGAAATGTGGGAGCCCTTGGTTTAGTAAAAAGCGAGTAAAGGTTTAAAACTTTCGACGTTAGTTCGAATTCTCACATATGTATTTACTGGAGTTGTGACATACCGTTCGAATTGAAGGAAAAGGCAAATGAAATGTGGGAAAATGTTTACCATTATGGTTTTCGTTTGATGGTTTTGGAGTTTGGGATCCGCCGTCAACAAAACAAGAAATTAAGGTTATGCATGTAATAATTTTCACATTCCTTGACAAAATAGAGTAGGGAACCCCACCTTCTTCCTAATTTGCCTTTGCTGGAAATATAAAGCGAAGAGAGATGGATGGGAACCAGAAAAGCAAAGAAAATTGCAGGATATGCATCTCAGCCTTAACGACATGAGATGAAAAAACAAAGCCAAAGAGAGAAAAGGCAGTGCCAAGTTGCCAAGAGAGATGGGGTGAGTGCCAACAGGTTCCTCTCCGGATGGATCATAGAAATCTGTAAATCGTGTCTGTTTATCGTACATCGTGCTGTCCGTTTTTGTCAAGTAATTTTTTTATCTAATTTTAAATAAAAATACTTAAAGTAATTTCTGACCGCACGATATACAATGAATATATGATTCATGAATTCCTGATATCCTCGTAAAAAGAATGTGTGTCAGGGGGCGTGTGGCTGGCAAGTGGTAGTGGGCGTTCCACTATATGTGCAACTGCGGACTCACTTCACTGATATACATAATAACATATATACGATCTGATATAATATATATCACTTCCTCTTTTAACTAAATTGTTTTTTATGGTTGTTCAATTGCACTGCAACACCTGCGTGATCTGTGATGGCTTGGATTGTTATATATAACGAAAGGAAAACAAACTAGGCAGTGATCAAAAGTTCAAAACACCAAAAACGCATACCAAAAGGTTTGCTCTAAAAGCCCTCTGTGCGTCGCATGGTATACGTTCAGATTCCACTGTGTGTGTATATACATATTCACGTAAGTGTCAGAATAGAATACCACATCGGTAATATGATAACAGTTTCCGTTCTTAACAGCATCGAAATTTTTTATAATAAAACCCAACAGTTAATAATAGATAATTAAATTGAAACAATACCGATAATATTAGAGTAAACAAGTGATTTTAATGTCCGAATATGTACCAGCAGCAATGGGAGAGAGAAGTATTAAAGTTGATAACCTGTCTCTCTCAACTCTCAAGTAATAAAGCAGATGGGATAAAATGGGTGGCCTCACTGTTTCAGTTGACACGTTTCTTCCTCCCTTTGGTGAGTGGGTGGGTTTGCTTTCGTTTTGTTGGATTATATGTACCAAATCATGAGTATGTATGTATATGTAATTATGTATGCTTTCGGGTATACTTTGGTTAACTTCTTGTTATATGTGAGTGGGTTGGGCACAATCCACATTTCTCAAACATCATGATAACAATGCAGTTATCCATCTCGCTCAAAAGTATTATTCTTTTCACATTTTTCATATTTAATTTGTTGTATTTTCTAATAGAGATGAAATCTAACTATTTCTTTAATAGAAATAGAACCTACATGCGTTGGTGAATCCTACTTCTATTAGAAAAATAGTACGATTGTGTTCTAAAAAATGTGATAAGTGTAGCATTCGTTTCCTTGTCAATTATGAGTGCTTCATAATGTTCCTCCTTATAATGCAAAAGTTAGGGATCACCAAATCAATGGGAATTTTTTTTTTTTTTTTTTTAAACATTCACATGCTAATGAGACGTGAACTATGCATGTGTACGTGCTCCATTTATAAAATCTTTTGTAGTAGAGTAGCGCTACTAGTTATAAGGAAGTGCACAAATCATGCTTCGTTTACAAAGTCAGAGACTGAATGAATGGGAGCGGTTGCATGAAGTAGTCCTACCGAGACTTTCTTGTTCGACAAAAAATGCGTCAATATTGTCGAACGACAAGATTTGAATGAATACTTGTGTACAACATAACTAATAGAAACCACATTCTGAAGCAGATACAAAGAAACGACCTTATAGTTAACTAGCTTGGTATTAGTTGAGTTTTTTACATTTGTTGTTAATAATTTGGAGCTAAACCTAAATTAGTTATGTTGTTTGGAGCTAAACCTAATTAGCATGCGTTCGGATAAGGCCTGTGGCTCACACACGCCTAGTCGGCTAGTGCACTTTAGCTTGAGCATTTGTACGCGTCCTTGGCAGACACACGCCTAATGCCACCCAATCCTGCCTGTTTTCTTGACCCGTAGCGTCACAAAAGATCTCATACAAATCCTCCCAAGTTCCCATTCCCAAACTTTATTTTTTATTTGATAAAAAAAAAAAAAAACTTCATTTTTTGTTTTGTATTTTCCTACATGTGAGAAGTCATCCTCCTTACTTGAAGAATGTCCGTTATTTTATCCCACAAACGTTATCATTATAATTGTTCATTTTTGTTATCAACTCTAAGTATCATTTATGAAAAAAATCATCTCATTTAGACACCATTAATCATATATGATTGACAATTATGATAACAGATAGCATCTTTATATAATTCGTTAATTTGTTTAATTTATATAGATGAATAAAGGATTTCTATAGCAATAAATAATTTTAGTATAATTTTTTATACAGTGATAAAGAGATAATCACGCTTGTATTGTTCAATATCATCACGTCTGTATACAAAGAATCTCTTAATGTATAAAGAGACAAGTTATGTCATTATAAAATAACATAAACCCCAGCAATGGCTCAGTGAAGTCCACGATTCAACACATGCATGTCAACTAGGCCATCGAGGCCTGTGGTACGCACACGCCTTTGAAGTGACAGATCAATCAAATGAAAACACAACTTTATATTTTTTCTCTTAAATTATTATTCGGCGGGTCAGCAGAAAACAATCAATATGCACATACATCTCTTTGATTTCTCTTTATATCTGGAATCTGCAGAATACCAATACTTTTTTCTCCAAATCTGAATTTACACACTCACCCCACTATTAATCTAAATTTTAATTTGGCCCACATGATCATACTCTTCCTCCATGTATAAATAGCTAGCCATTCACCAATAGAAGACAGAGATAGTTCAGTGGCTAAACAGTCTTAATTTGCTTGTACTTTTTTCGTAATTTGCTTATTAAGAAATATCAAAAATGGCAGATCAAAATGGTTATGCTGACCTAGAGAAGCAGATGCTGATTCTGCATGACCATGAAGAGAAGCACTTCATGTCGAGTGAGATTGTGCGTGACGTCATTCTCGGTGTATCCGACGGTCTCACTGTCCCTTTTGCCCTAGCCGCTGGCTTGTCCGGTGCCGATGTTAGCTCCTCCATCATTCTCATTGCCGGCATTGCTGAAGTTGCCGCCGGTGCAATATCTATGGGACTTGGCGGGTATTAATTCCATTAAATTTATCGATGCTTTTTTTTTTTTTTTCTTTTGAAACTTGCATATGCTTAATTGTGTTTTCAATATATCTTGTTAATTTTGGTATTCATATATATATATATATGAATGCAGGTACCTTGCTGCTGCGAGTGAAGCTGATCATTACAAGAAAGAACTAAAGAGGGAACAAGATGAAATCATCGCTGTCCCTGATACAGGTCTCAACATTATTATAATTAATTAATTTTTACAGTTTAATTAATTAGTTTTAATCATTTACCTTCCTCTACTTTCTTTAACCTTAAAACAATAAAAGAAAAACAACTCTTGTTAACTGTGAAATGTGCGTGTCAAAAGTTAATGTTAATTTAGTGTATTATGTGTTTATCTTTTGAATTTGTTACAATTTATAATTAGATCTGTGTGTGCGGAACTTTTTCTTACTGCACACAGAAAATTCACGAGCCTGCCTGCCAACTTATAAGATAATGTGAACCTCTTTCAAACTGCACCGTTCAGTTTATAGACCACGCACGTAATTAACATATTAAAGCTAATTAAAAATGTTATACTATGCGACCTCGTTTTCATTTCATTTGACATTTTAAAGTTTGATACTATCGTGTGTGTGTGTGTGTGTATAATAATAATAATGATGATGAGAAATGCAGAGGCTGCTGAGGTTGCTGAAATATTGTCACAATATGGAGTTGAACCACATGAATATGGGCCTGTGGTGAATGCTCTCAGGAGGAACCCTCAAGCCTGGCTTGATTTCATGATGAAGTAAGCAAAGCTACGTTGATCACATAATAGCTATTGACATTAGTTATGCAAGATGAGATGCGTAAAATGTCGGTGGCTAATAGCCACCGATAAAGTAATAGTGATTATTGTCAAGTTTTTGAGGTGTGACTAATTGATTAATCAATTATATATGATGCAGATTTGAACTAGGGCTGGAAAAACCAGACCCAATGAGAGCACTACAAAGTGCAATGACAATTGCGTTTTCATACACTGTTGGTGGATTGGTTCCCCTAATACCCTACATGCTCATTCCAATTGCAACACGAGCTGTGGTTGCATCTGTAGTCGTCACCATACTTGCTCTGATGATATTTGGGTTTGCAAAGGGTCACTTCACCGGCACTCAACCCTTCAAGAGCGCCGTCCAAACCGCCTTCATCGGAGCCATTGCCTCCGCCGCTGCTTATTCCATTGCTAAACTTTTCCAAGCTTACCATTAATCAATAATTAGTGGCGACCTCCGTCTCTGTGACGAAACTAGCTAGTTAATTGGGTATTTAGCGTTTTCTAATGTCTCCTAATTTCAACTTTCTGCATTCTTTGATCGTTTTTTCTAGTAGCTATATATATATATGTGTGTGTGTGTGTGTGTCTGCTTGTATAATATCTGTTCCTACATTGTTCTGGTTCCGTCTTCCATGTCGTACGTTAATAAACGATGATTTCCTGAATAATAACCTCATATATATCGATGGAAATATGTAAAAATGAAGAAATTAAATTAGAGCATCAGGTATGTCTATGATTCCAAACATTGATACCTGAATAAAGCAGAGGCACAGATTCTAAACTAATATTCCACACAGAACCTGTAAAGGCTGCAACTGCCTGCACCAATATTGCATTGGCTATTTCTGTATGAGGACACCTTTTGTTATTTAATTACCACCTCCGTGACTCGGTCTCAATATGCCACCTGCATGCCCTACTATGCTTGCATGCCTACAAAATCTTGGATGTTAGTGTTAGAAGGCTGGCAGGTTAATTGATTAAATCTCCGATGTGGATTAGATCATCGATGTGGAGTGAAACTGATATACAAGAGGTTTATTACACCATTGTAATTTGTTTAAACTATGGCGCCAAAATTTTGCTGCCTGCATCACTAATAATTTTCAAATGGTTGTTCTATAAACATAATGCTAGGAAGATTAAATTTGGAGACAAATTAACAAACTAAATGATGGGTCACCAATAAGAATAAACATGTCGCTTAAATAATAAACATATAATCAACTTTTATGTCCTTTAGTTTTCAAAATTTTGTCTATAAATTTAGTCTCTCTAACATTACGATTGTAGCATAGAACATCCTCCTCAATCTAAAAAGAGAAATGCTAAGCAGACTCTCTATAGACTCTTTATCACCTCATTTTTTTATATAATATTTTATAATTTTAGCATAAGAATTGACGTTAAATTGTGATGACAGATATTCAGATTGATTCTCACTTTAGAATAGTATCTTTAACGTTTCTCCTCTGAAAAAAAGCAAAATCCACGCACGCCTGACGCACGCTGTGATTGGAGCATACAAAAAGGTTAAAATCATTGGAAATTTGGATACTAATTACCCCAATTTATACACAAAAAGACACCCACATAAATATAACGCTCCGATATCTCAGACGTTTGCTCTTTCTTTCTCACTCGAAGAAACCTAGTTTTAGACGGACGAACCCAAAACCCTATTTCATTTTTTTCTCAATGGCTAATGACGGACAAACGAACAGCTTAGACCGCGAGAAGCAAGCACTGCTGAATAAGCACACCGAGAAGCACTTCACCGCCGGCGAGATCGTCCGGGACATCATCATCGGCGTATCCGACGGTCTTACCGTGCCGTTCGCTCTCGCTGCGGGACTGTCCGGCGCCAATGCCACGTCATCTATCGTCCTCACTGCTGGCATCGCCGAAGTCGCCGCCGGTGCCATCTCCATGGGACTCGGCGGGTACTCTTTCTGTTCCGCTATTGTTTGATATCACAGCTTGTTTGGTAATATATTGATTCATTGATATTTTATTACGCAGATATCTGGCCGCAAAAAGTGAATCGGATCACTATTTGAGGGAGCTGAGGAGAGAACAAGAAGAAATTGTAAACGTTCCCGATACAGGTTTAATTTGGATTGTTTTCGTCCCTTGATTTAATTTTCAATTAGTTTTAAAGTTTATATTTTAATTAGGTCCTGATCATGTTAATTGGAGCAGTGTGCTTCGCCCGTTACGCCTAAGTTTGAGTCTTATTTCTAATATTATAGATTATATTAAGGTAACTATTGCTTGTTTGTATATGAATAATGAAATTTCTTTTCGTTTATGACGGGGTAATTGCAGAGGCGGCGGAAGTGGCGGAGATACTGGCGGAGTATGGAATAGAGCCGCATGAGTATACACCGGTTGTGAATGCTCTAAGGAAGAAGCCCCAAGCATGGCTCGACTTCATGATGAAGTAAGTTACTTTACGTAAATTTTGGAATCACAAGTTAGGTCGGTTTGTTAGAACATTATTCGGCCCTTTGTACATAAGTTCATATCACTCTACATGATTTAGCTTTATTTAATCAGGATAATAAGTGTGTATATAATTAAGAAAACTTAGAATGATAGGAAGATATTTTCTTTTCCTTCCAAGATTTTTGTGAAGGTAGGCAAAGCGATGTGGATATTCTGTGAACTGCACGTGGTGGGGGCTAACTAGGACTAGTTGACAAGTGAAGGAGAAGGATTTAGGTAGAAAAGTTTATAGTCACGTAGTGTTTTACATTTGATAATACTTTGTTTTAAAACGTAACATAAATTTTTTTTTACATGATAATATATTATTGAATTAAAATGTAACACAACGGTAAATCTGTTCCAAAAAATTGCTCTCCCAAGTGAACACCTCCATCACAACCGAATGCAATTATAAAAAGCCAATATCTTCTCATTAGAAGTGTTCAAGGGCTGGTTTGGTATTGCTGTGCTTTGAAAAAAAGTTGCTGTGAGAATAAGCGACTGTGAAATAAATCAGCAGAGTGTTTGGTAAATTTTTTTGTAAAAGTGCTTTTGGAAAAAAAAAGCAGTCTAATAGTGGGTCTTTTCATTAAAGAAGCACTGTAGCTCCGTGTGCTTTGAAAAAAAACCAGTTTTCCAAAGCTGCAAATAGCAGCTTCAGCTTTTTCCTTTGATTTCAACTTATTCTCACAGCAGCTTCCAAAATAAACCATTTTTTTTCAGTTTACCAAACACCTAAAATCCTCACAGCTTTTTTTCATGGGTGCTTTTTTTTTAACCACCTCACTCCCAAACTAGGTCTAAGTCAAAAGTTGGCTTCTCTTTTGAAATGTGGACAAAACCCATGTGGTTCTTCGTCACACTGAACGGATAAAAAGCACTTTTGGCCACTTCCACTTCCACTTGGGGCACATTTTTAATATTATTATGCATTTTGTGTTACGGCTGATCATTACAAAATCTTTTACTCATTGGTTGTTGAAGATCATACACTTCACGGGGTAGGTATCTGCTATTCTGATAGGATATCAATTGTTTTGATCTTTTAACTAATTAGAATTTTCATTGATAGATTGTAAAGTGTTTGTCTATGCTTAAAATAGTCAGTTTTTTTTTTTTTTAAATAACGCTTATATCGATAGAGTTAATAACATTAATAAATAATATGTCAACAGTAAAAGTATCCACGTGGTGTAGACACAATAATATCAATACAAAATTTGACATTATCGATACCAAATACGTCATGCATAGATTATTTCTGCAAGTGCAATTGGTGGGTTGTTGATCACCAACGAAATTTTGGTAGTAGTGTTTGGTTTAATTTGCACTCCTTAATTTCTACCACAATTGATGCCCGACAAGATTTCTGGTCTAAGATTTCATCGAGTATTAAGCTTAAGCCAAATGGATTGCATGACATGGTTATAATTAACTTAATTTGAATGATGATTCAGGTTTGAACTGGGATTGGAAAAGCCGGATCCAAGGAGAGCCTTGCACAGCGCCCTCACCATTGCCGTTGCTTACGTTTTGGGTGGAGCAGTACCCTTGCTTCCTTACGTCTTCTTTCCGAGGGCCAGGGAAGCTCTGGTTGCGTCGATTGTCGTGACCTTGCTGGCGTTGCTGATCTTCGGGTACGCCAAGGGCCGCTTCACCGATAACAAACCCTTCCGGAGTGCCTTCCAGACTGCGCTCATCGGAGCCATAGCATCCGCAGCTGCGTTTGGCTTGGCAAAGGCCATCCATCCATGAACACACGTCCTATCATTCGCTTCATGTTTCGAAACTCCAACGTTGCTCATTATCTTAACAAACCCTTTCGGTATAAGTTCATCCTGTGATCGTATATTTACTTTTTCGTCGAAAGCTAATAAGAGTCTTGTACGCGAAAATGTCGTACAAATACTTCGAAAAATAAGTGTTCTTACATTTGAATTGAGAAGAATAGGAACAGTATTTGGTGTCCCCATGAATTTACAAGGACAACGTGGTATTACAAAACAATACCAAGTGAGGTTGCAGAAGCTATGAAAAAACAAGAACACTGCAGTGGTGCAGACGATTCTCCAACTCTCTTTAACCAAGTAACTACTAGATTTGACGAAAGAAGTCTCAAAATTGCATGTAGAAACAGAGCAAAATTATGAAACATGTCACCTCTTCCCAACAAAACGATCATGCAAAGTTGTGCGGCTTGTCCCAGCGTACCCAAAGCTGTCAACGAGAAAAATAATGAAGACGCAAGTCTTCAAAACTCCAGGTAGCCTCGCTGAATGAAAAGATGATTTCCAACGACAGTATAAAAGAATAACCACACACGCTATGATACATGTGAAGGATAAGAACCAACTTACATTAGTTAAAACTGAGTTGTGGAAGAGAGATGGACTGGTAAGTGTCCACGAGAACGTGTCACTAGAGCTGATCGAAAAAACCTAAGTTACACAGAAGTTGTCCTTCTGCTTCCCTGATTCTGTTCCATGTTGTTAGAGTCAGAAGCCAAATGTCCCATTTGTTCAGTAATAAACTCCAAGTTTTGAGAGCTCTCCATATTAGATCCATCAACTGTTGAATCCGATGCAAAGTTCTGAGATTTCTTCATTTGCTCGACTAAATAATCAAAATTTTGTGATTCATCCAGATCAGATACTATTGGTTCCACCTCCATTCTAGCATCAGCAGGCTCTTCGCCATCTTCCTTTGTACCTTCAATATTTTCTAAGAAAGGACTAGCTAAAAGAAACTGCTCCCATGCACCATCGTCAGATATATCTGGTAGAGTATATGGGGCATGGGTTTCTACAGGGCTCAACTTTTCATCCATTAGCATTTTCATGAAATCAGGATTTACAACAAAATCTTCCATTCCATCCATATAAGCATCAACTTCAGGTTGTTTCTCTGAGCCTGAATTCGGTGGGACTAAAGGCTTTGGGGCTTCAATCATCGGTGGTTGGTACCTCACTATCGCACCATCAGAAGCCACTGGTCTATCATCATCCATACACTGTTCTATTATATTGCCAGCTTCAGCAATTCGCCAACTATTTTCCTTTGGATGAAGAAGCTGAACTAGAAATCCAGGACTTTGCATGGCCATCACTAGAAATGACAGCATCTGCTGTTGATTTTTCTCCATTCCGCGAAGGCGGTTCCTCAGGAGGAGCAATTTATTTTGTGAAATTTCCTGGTGCTGCCTAAGCTTCACCAACTCTTGCTTCAGAGCAACTTTATCAGTCTTCAAGTTCTCAACTTCCTTCCACAGACCATTTTCACTAATATTTTCAGACGGTATATCAGGATTGTCTTTTTGCTGTAATATCTTTTTTTGATCTGTGCCCTGTGGATGTTTCCTTCTAGCAATATTCTTCAACAAATGCTTTTGACCTCGAATAAATCCTTCATTTGCAAACACCCAACGATCTGGATCTATTTTTCTAAATCCCTGCAACATTAAGATTCATCAGTACTTGACAATTGGTTAACAATTCAAGTAAAAAGACGACTTTTACAGTCATACAGATATCTACGCAGAGGTTTCTGTAAAGCACGTACAATGCGTACATCAAAAGAGAAAAACAAGAAAAGCCATCCGACTCTTGTCTCCCTTTGTTTCTCAAATATATCCAAATTCAGAAGAAAGCATACATGGGAACTGAGATTGAAGCACAACCTTAACCGGCAACCTTTTAATTAGATTGAGAAAAAGAAAGGGAGATGGTTGAAGCTTCGAAAAAACAACTTCATGATTCAAAATATTCCACAAATCAACAAAGGTCAAGGATCCCATCTTCGGCAGATCGTTTTGAGTGCCACTTAATCTTTTAACCACAGAAAAATTTCAATTCCGAATAAACTTCAACATGAAGGAAATCCAAAAAAATGCAAAACTCCCAAATTAGCAATACTTGCAAGATAGATACTTTATTGAAACTAATCGTATCTGCAGGAAAGAACATTGGCTTCTCAAACCTCATCTTGTTTACAATCATTTACAAATGTGCAACAATTTAATATTTGGCACAAAAACAACAACAACAAACAAGTCCGCAGAAACCCCAATACAAATATCAGCACAATTGCACAAACCAATACCAATTCAACCCACAAAAAAACCCAACTAAACATAGAGAAAAACCGCAGCAAAGCAGTGACCCAAGAAAAGAACCTTGCCCAGTAAATCAAAAGGTAAGAAAGAAAAAAAGAAGAACTCACATAGATATTGAGCTGCCTCATGAAGCTAGAAAAGTTGCTGTGCTTGAAATACTTGGGCAGCATTGAAATCGAGAACTGGGCCATGTCCAGTATCGCAAAGCTGTCGCCGGCTTCACTCCACGAGATTATACTGTCGCTGTCCTTGTCATCCACCATCTCGTAGCATTTTCTGAGAAAAGGAGGCACCGACCCCGACGGCCCAGACCCATCTCCTCCGCCCTTCTCCGCCGATTTCACCATGTTCAAGAAAGCCAAGATTTTGAAACTGAATTCGATTTGGGATTTCGGTTTTAGGAAATTCCCCGGAGGATTTCAGTGGAATTGGATGGAATCGGATGCAAAGTGTAGAGTTTTGACGACACAGTTTCGATCTTTGTTTCTTTGAGTTTGCCGTGTTGACGGGGGTTTATGGTCTCTGCTCTCTGGGACATTCGAAAGACAAACTGGTTTTTATATCTGGTTTTGGCGTGTGCGGTTGACACATGGAACATAAAGAGTGGGCCGAGGTCAACCCGGTTGGGTTTCTATCCGTACTAACCCAAAATAAAATGGGCCTTGTCCAGCCCGATTAAGTGACGATCTCCTTTCTTTTGTTTTATTCATATTTCAGGACGAGCCACTTGAGTATGAGTATGCTAGATATTCACATTCAAGGTTAAAACTTAAAAGTCATACACAAACATGAGTTAATACGATTGAAATTAAATTTTTTGGATTAATCTCAGTTTACTATCAAAAGTTTCTTAGTTTTCACTAATACTAATATATTAAAATTGGGATATTTTGATACATTATACATCACAATTTCCGCTAGATAGTAGTATTAATATTTTGAAATTTCTTGGTAGTATTATTAGTAACGGAGGTTTAGGGTAGTATTATTAATATCACAATTAATAACATCAAAATATTAATCATTTCCTTCATACACGTCGTCAGTTAACGAAAATTCTGACGAAAATATATAATGTATCAAATTATTAGTATGTTATATTTAGTATATACTAGTAATTGTATACATACTATGTATGCACCTAATAATATTGCAACCACTTTAGTGATTTTATACAAGTACATGCATCACATGTACAATTGCTAGTCTTGATAAAGTCAACTAAGTCACTCCTTCCCCCAACAAGAAAAGTGTAGTATTTGACTTTGATGTTGCAGCCATCGCAATACATAAGAAAATAAGTTGTACAATTGTTTACCTATAGCACTCTATTTTTTCTCGAGGCAGAAAACTGATTAAGATCTTTTAGTCTCTTTCTACACTATTATCGTGTGAATCGAACTTATAACATATCGTGTAGAATATGAATCTACAAATCGTATTAAACGCTGAAGAAATTTGAAGCAAATCCTATGGAATAAGTAGTGAGAATATATCATATTCCATTATTCCTGTTTGGCCATTTTCATATGTCCCCCAATTTGAACGTTTATGAGGGGATCGAAAAGCTGACTCTCGTGAGCGTCCGACGCTTTACGTGGCGGACCGCAACTCATTGACGACGACACGTTTCGGCCTGTCCAGGCTTCATCGACTGCTCGAGCCTTGGCCCCCTAGCGGCTATGTCCGACAGTCGTCGCAATATTATACTATTTTGACATCCAAACAACTATTGCTGTGAATAATATTTAGGTACTCAGTGACTACTTTATTATCGCTTTTTGATTGGCCTAATTAAATATGTCGCGTACTACTTGTTTTATAAAGTTTAAAAAGAAATTAACAAAGCATATTTATTACTTTTTAAAATAATTCAACACTGAAATGTTATTGGACAGAGTTAAAAGGTGAGTGAGTACTTAAGCATGAATTATCACTCAAAGTATTATCCTTAAACTATTTGATACTATTTACTAATTAATTTATCTTTTTATTAACTATATATGCTAATTACATACAACAACAACAACAAAACATACTTCTTCGAACAAGTACAAAAAAATTAAACGATAAATTACTATGTAAATTTAATAATCTATTTTATACACTAGCAATAATTTTACAAAATCCTCTAGAAATATCCCATGTTTTTTTATTATTAAATTTTGATTTTTATATTTTTGAATAAAATATTAAAACGATTAAAAAATCCGAAATATCTTATACTCTAAAACATCATGAAAAATCTCATCCGCTAATTCATCTTTGCTTTTACATACATGAATTCATTTGTCTTTTCACAAGAAATATTTTTAAACATATTTTTACGAAAGCGTTTTCAGTTGTCTTACAAACATTTCTAAATCATCACGTTTTTGTTAGAATTTCAAATAGGTAGTGTGGCAACAGCTGGAAGTCACCGGCTCGCCATGTCAGCAATGCGGTCCAAGCTCGATGATGTAATGCAAGTGGATATTATTTTATTTTAACCTTTATTTTTTTTCCTCAGCTGGATCTGGATGGACCATCCAAGTACACCATTAAGCTAGGATTAATTCTGGAATTTGGATCCTCTCCTAAGCAAAGGAGACGGAGCCTCCTATCTCAAATACACAGGTCTAGATTTTGATCTAACGATTATAATTATTATAACTTTAGAATAATTTTCTGTTTGTAACCGTTAAATTAAAATTTAATTCCAGTATATTTAGATTAGGAGAATCCGTCTTCTTGCTCAGTAGAGCATCCAAATCCTTAATTCTGGATAAGAACATAGGACACGTCTAACTACAAGAGAGCGACACGTCGTTTGCGTGACAGTTTTGTTTGTAGATATTTGTGGAAAATGACAATTTACCCAGCCGGCGGTTCGGCCATTTTTCCCCGTAAAACTCGAAACAAAAGAAACAGATAAGGCTTTGTGTCAGAGTGCTTACGCGGTATGGACAAGCCCCTCGTGTGGGTCCCACCTTAATGTAGGAAAGCCTCGTGGCGGAAACACCAAAGGACAAGGGATAAGAACCAGAGGCGGAATCTACTACTCTCTCCCCTCTCTTCCGCAAACCATCCCAGCCGTCAGTTCTAGTCGCCTCCGTCCTGATACCGAATCTGACGGCTACAAAGATTTCGTCGTTTTCAATTATCCTTTCTCTTCTTTGAAAAAAACAAAGTAAACCCATTAAAATTAGTAACTGTGTGCAAAACAAAGCAAATTGCCCAGAAACATTATCCCCCACTATTTTATGTTTTGCCTCAGTTGGTCTGATCCTCTTCTCTTTAGAGAGAGAAAGAGATGGGAGGGGAGAGAGAGAGAGAGAGGGGGGAGAGAGAGAGAGAGAGGAGCTTATAAGACAAGAGTGTGATCACTGAGAAAGTCCCATGGAAAGGAACCAGATTTTAGGGCCTCCTTTTGTCTCCTTCAATCTTTGATTAGATTTTCCTTCACCCTTGATATTCTTGTTTCCTTCTCTTCAAATTCCACGAAAATAAAAGTGGGGTTTTCTGCAAATCTCAGCCGCTGGTAACATCTCAAACTGCTCTCAATTTTATCATTGAAAGTTTGGATCTTTAAATTTTTTATTGCTGTCCTTGTTGCTATTGCTGTTGATATCTTTGGTTTCGGTTCCAATCTGTATACTTTTCTCAGAAGTGTGACGACAATGTCTAGTTGAATGTTTGGGTGTCATATATTTCTGAGCTGCGTCTGATCTAAATCTGTTCCATTCTTTCTTACCTGGATAACAAGAAAAGTACTTGGTTTTATCCCTTCCCTTTGTTTCGATTCACTTCTCAAAGCTTTTATCTTCAAAGACATGTAGCCAGGAAGAAATGGTGTCGAAATCGTATTCCAATCTTTTGGAGCTTGCGTCCGGCGAGGGAGACTCGTTTGGCCGAATTGGCCGGCGAATCCCACGAGTTATGAATGTGGCCGGCGTGATGTCCGATGTGGATGACGAAGGGTACACGTCCTCATCGTCCAGCCAACGTGACCGAATCATCATTGTGGCCAACCAGCTCCCCATAAGAGCTCAGAGGAAGGCGGATGACAGTAAGGGTTGGATTTTCAGTTGGGATGAGAATTCACTACTTCTCCAACTGAAAGATGGTTTGGGGGATGATGAGATTGAAGTGATTTATGTTGGTTGTCTTAAGGAGGAGATTCACCCGAACGAACAAGATGAGGTTTCCCAAATCCTCCTCGAGACCTTTAAATGTGTCCCAACCTTTCTCCCACCAGATCTTTTCAGCCGCTACTATCATGGGTTTTGCAAGCAACAGTTGTGGCCGCTGTTTCATTACATGCTGCCCCTTTCGCCGGACCTCGGTGGTAGGTTCAACCGGTCATTATGGCAAGCGTATGTGTCAGTGAACAAGATTTTTGCAGACAGGATCATGGAAGTGATTAACCCAGAAGATGATTTTGTCTGGGTACATGACTATCATCTGATGGTGTTGCCGACCTTTTTGAGGAAGAGATTCAACCGTGCGAAACTTGGGTTTTTCCTCCACAGTCCGTTCCCTTCGTCTGAGATTTACAAGACATTGCCTGTTAGGGAAGAGATTCTGAGAGCCCTTTTAAATTCTGATTTGATCGGATTCCATACATTTGACTATGCAAGGCATTTCCTCTCTTGCTGTAGTCGAATGCTTGGTCTTACGTATGAATCCAAGCGGGGTTATATAGGCCTCGAGTATTATGGTCGAACTGTTAGCATCAAGATTCTTCCTGTTGGCATACACATGGGTCAGCTGCAGTCTGTTTTGAGCCTACCAGAAACGGAAGCTAAGGTTGCTGAGCTTATCAAACAGTTCTCTGACCAGGGAAGGACAATGTTACTTGGAGTTGATGACATGGATATTTTCAAGGGTATAAGTCTGAAGCTTTTGGCAATGGAGCAGCTGCTTGTTCAGCATCCAGAGTGGCAGGGGAAGGTCGTGTTGGTGCAGATAGCCAATCCAGCTAGGGGTCGGGGAAAAGACGTGAAAGAAGTTCAGGCAGAGACATCCTCAACTGTGAAGCGAATTAATGAAACGTTTGGGAGACCCGGATATAAGCCTGTCGTGTTGATTGATGAGCCACTCAAGTTCTATGAGAGAATTGCATATTATGTTGTTGCCGAGTGTTGCTTGGTGACCGCTGTCAGGGATGGAATGAATCTAATTCCATATGAATACATAATCGGTCGGCAAGGAAATTCGAAATTGGACAAAGTTTTGGGGTTGGAGCCGTCCATCCCGAAGAAGAGCATGTTAGTTGTGTCCGAGTTCATTGGCTGCTCTCCTTCTTTGAGCGGAGCAATTCGTGTGAACCCCTGGAATATTGATGCTGTGGCAGATGCCATGGACTGTGCCCTGGAGATGGCGGAGCCAGAAAAACAGCTCAGGCACGAGAAGCATTATAGATATGTCAGCACGCATGATGTTGGGTACTGGGCCCGTAGTTTCCTCCAGGATTTGGAAAGGACATGTAAGGGCCATTTGCGTCAGAGGTCCTGGGGTATTGGGTTCGGGTTGAGTTTCAGAGTTGTGGCCCTTGGTCCAAACTTCAGGAAGCTTTCTATGGAGCATATAGTGTCAGCTTACAGGAGGACTGCAACTAGGGCGATCCTTCTCGACTATGATGGCACATTGATGCCTCAGGCTTCCATCGATAAGAGCCCGACTTCTAAATCCATTGAAATCCTGAATAGCTTGTGCAGAGACAAGAACAACATGGTTTTCATTGTTAGTGCCAAAAGTCGCAAAGTACTAGCTGAATGGTTCTCTCCTTGTGAGAAACTTGGAATTGCTGCTGAGCATGGATACTTTCTACGGTAATTTGTGTAAATATCAATTTTTATGCTTATGGAAATGCAGTTTAAATTAAAACTAATGATTATATGGAAACAGGTTAAAGCGAGATGCAGAATGGGAAACTTGTGTACCAGTTGCGGACAGTAGTTGGAAGCAGATTGCAGAGCCGGTAATGAAGCTTTACACTGAAACAACTGATGGTTCCACCATTGAAGACAAGGAAACTGCACTTGTGTGGTGTTATGAGGATGCGGATCCTGATTTTGGATCATGCCAAGCTAAGGAACTTCTGGATCATCTTGAAAGTGTGCTTGCTAATGAACCAGTTACTGTTAAAACCGGGCAGAATGTAGTTGAGGTTAAGCCACAGGTTTGATACACCTCCCCTTATTAAATTGAATCTCTGTTGTTCTGTAAATACTCTCTCTAATCTGTATGACTGTTATCCAAACTGTACACAAGCTTAGTAACACATGTGAAACTGTAAAAGCCAATGAGAAGTTCGAGAGTTAGAGAATCACGAGGCTAAAATTAGATTTTGAAACCAAGACTGTTAATTGGTATTATTTATATCTTAAATGTGTTTATCTAAAATTTGTATGTATATACTTTTAAGATTTTAACAAATGTATATTTTGGAAAAGATTATGGCCCTTTTCGGGGCAACAGATGAAGTATTCTCTGTTTGTTTCCTCTAGCATTAATGATTAGTCGAGGTTTCTTTACTCACGAAGTTCATGCTGATTGAGTTGGCTGCATAGGTATGAAAACTTTTCTTCGTATGAATTGTGGAATTTTGCCTTTATATCCTGATTCCTGATATGTCTTATCACGATTGAATATATTTGAAACAGTGTTTTATGAAGCATCCTGTGATAAATTCCTGACCGACTTCATGCATCTAATATAAAAAAAGAAATATACGATGCTTCGGGTACTAATTGGATCATGTGAAGTGCGAAGTTTGAAACAAAGGGACTTACTGTTATAAGCAATGTGTGTTGACTCAGATTGCTGAACTGGAATTACAATATCTCGATTAGCTGTGACACTCTCGTGTGTATGCAGGGCGTAAACAAGGGACTTGTAGCAAAACGTCTACTTTCCACCATGCAAGAAAGGGAAATGTCACCAGATTTTGTTCTCTGCATAGGGGATGACCGATCTGATGAAGACATGTTTGAGGTAATTACAAGTTCCATATCAGGCCCATCCATTGCTCCCAGAGCAGAAGTGTTTGCGTGCACAGTTTGCAAAAAACCCAGCAAAGCCAAGTATTATCTGGATGATGTAGCGGAGATTGTTAGGTTGATGCAGGGATTGGCATGTGTCTCTGAGCAAACTGTACCTCTGTAAGTTTACCAAAGATAAAGATATGGCATTGTCTCATTTTCTTCGTAACTGCCACAACGAAGGCCGGACGGTGTATTTCACAGTGCTTCTGCTTCCTTGCTTCTTTCGTTCATCATGTAAAAAGTATGTAGTGTTATGAGAAGCTGTGCATTCGGATACTTTTCTCGCATTTGTTGTTGTAAAGCTGTAAATGTGTTTGTGCATGAAGTCCGAACTCGTTTCACCTCAGTTGATAATCGGCAGTCTTAAACGAGGGAAACCTCGTTCATGTCAGTTTCTCTTATGTCTGATTTGGTTTCACTTAGCAAATTGATGTCGTTTGATATACATCGGTGCATATGTTAAAAATCTGTTCATTGGTTTTGGATCCGCCGGAGTGGCGCAGTTGGTGGTGCCGGAAATTGAGTCCCCAAGCGAACATGTCCGGTGTGAATGGTTGGCTAGGCTCTCTTGTGTTGCTTTTCTTGGTAACTCGGCAGAATTCATACCTTAAGGCTTAAGTTGTCTTGTACGGTGTCGTTTGCTGTGTTTTATATGCTAACTTCTTTACATTTGTTCTCAAATGGAATCGTAACCCCGGCCGTCAATGATCCTCGTTTTCTGTCGTGCTTCTTGTTTGACTGCTAAGCTTGTTCTGTTACTGTCATATTTTCTTGGATCCACACCCATGTCTATGGCTAATGGGGTTCTTCTTCCTCCCTTGGCCCAGTAAAAGTAGAAAAATCGGTTAAATCATTAAAATAAAGGAAACTAATTAAAAGGGTTTGAAAATTTTGAGTTTTAACGAAAATAACAAAAAGGTGTTTGTAAGTGGTTTTTCGTTAAGTGAACAATAACAGAAGTTTTTTGTTAAAACTTCCTTAAAATAATTAAGGTAGTGGAGTAGATAGATGTGAACTTTATCAAGGTCCCGCACCATAAATTTTTTGTTCTTTATTAAAAATATATATATATAGCAAAAGATGGCAAAGTCATGACAGTTTACTCTTTTCAAGGTTGCGACAACTATGAGAGGCATTTCAACTTTTTGTGACCACTATCGAGGAATTTATTAGCGTAAGAAATCGAACATAGATTCAGCTGTATGAAATACGAACTTGAAATTCTTCATAAACAAATCTAATAAGGGAGTTGAATAAGACAAACTAAAAATAACTTTATAATTTTTTGTAAGAAATATGTTACAAATGACGTGTCTAACATTCATTCATACGTTTTTGTCCATATCATGGACACTTTATTAACGTCTGTCAATTCAACAACTCAAACATTAATAACTTAAGAAGAGTGAGATCTCGTCGTCGCTTTTGCGCTTCCTACAAAAGTCACCTGTATTTTATGCAGTAAGTGCAAAAGAGTGTAATAGTTCAACAAAAGTCCCATGAAAAATCTAGATGAAGAAATTAACGTGAAGACAAAATCATGGAGAAATTCAAGTGCAAATCATTCAAAAATTATAATTGTAATTACTTGTATTTTATTAAAAAATAAAACGTAGTTGGGTTTTATCTGGTGGTGTACGCAGGGAAAGTACTAACGCGCTTGTTTAGCTGGAAATGCCGCTCAAAGGAGAAATGCTGTCGGAAGAAGAGGAAATAAGACTCGAGTCTCTGAAAATGTTTCAAGAGGGAATTCCATTGGAAGAGGGAAATTCAGAAAAAAAGAGAGAAAAGAAAGAGATTAAATAGATTATCCCGAACCCGCCGTCGCACGAACCATTTATGACGACCGTGTAGTGATACTCCTCAATCAACTAGAAGCCCTAAATTTTTGGATTTTTGCAAACTTGTAACGATGACTGATTGGAACTATTATTTGTAGGATATAAGTGTGGTATGCTCTAAAAAAGGAGGCGATCCGCTAGCCGGCACCTACCGCGAGGGGCCTGACGGATCCATCAATGCCGGACGCGATTCAGTTTAGCTTCATTCCGATCACTTCTCTCCTCAAAGATGTGTCCGGTAAAGGTTTCTTGTCGCATGCCATCAACCTTTATCTTCGACGTAAGTTTAACTAATATGTAACACATTTTTGGTTCTTAATCTAATGTAAACATAAGTTGAATTAGTTGATTAAGACAGACCACATTTTTCCTTTTGTATCTTAATTTGAATCTAGTTTATTAACTAGGCTTATTTTTAGCTACGCCCTGTAACTCCATTTGATCTCATTTTGTACACAGTAACTCAAAACTCACAACTTTACTCCTTGAAACTCAAAATTTATTCTACTTTGACTTGTGTACTCTCTTTTTTGTCCCTGAAACTTATAGGTCAACATACTTGGGACCCAAAACCCTAGAAGACAATGCCACATGTGCAATAAATTTGATTATAAATCTCTATTACGCGTTAACATTCAACAATAAGACCATATTAAGTTTAAAAGAAATTGAAGAGATGAAAAAAATAAAAATGAATTTGATTAGCCTGGCGCAATAAAATCAAATCCACATAAGAAATTACAGATCTAAGGCAATGTTGAGTGATTTTTGAGTTTTATAGATACGACTTTCAAGTTTCAAGAGATAAAATGGGATCAAAATCGAGTTTTAGATGGCAAAGTGGAGCGCACTATGAGTCTTAAGGAGTAAAGTAGTGAATTTTGAGTTACATGAAGTAAAGTGAGATTAAAATTGAGTTCCATAAGGCGTAGCTAAAAATAAGCGTATTAATTAATTAAGAAACTTGCTACAAACTTTTTTTTTGTTTTTTGTTTTTTTGTTTTTTAAGTTGTGTATGGGTTACGTGCAGACAAGCCTCCAATAGCTGATCTGCAATACTTTCTAGACTTTCAAGCCCACAAAATTTGGGCTCAGGTTCTGAATGAGCTGGCTCTAGGCCCAGCCTCAAATAGGGCAACTCAGTCCCCTGCAATCCACGTCTGCTTGCTGAGTCCTCAGCTATATGTAAAGACTGCACACGTTGGGGTTGCAAACAGGCCTGTCATAGGGATGTGCTTGTTTATATCTTGAGGGCAGGAAAGCCAACAGGACCTACTACTTGTTGATCACGTTGAGAAATCACACCACATATATATAATGCAGCGGGCCGGATTCGGAATAGAAAGGATTAACAATTGTCAAATCCGATGAAGTGATAAACTGAATTTGTTGATCACGTTGAGAAACCCTAATAGTACAACATTGTGAACGCTCTCTCTCATCACGAGTAGTGTTGAGCACGGCTGCACGGGTCGTGACCGGCGATTTTTTGGTGGATTCAGATCAGAGGGTATAGAGATTGACTCCGGTTCAATTTGCGTCGTGAGGGAATCAAGTGGGTCGTGAGTTTGTTGATGAGTCGGTGGTTAAGGCCTGTTTTAATCCAATCCTAACCAGTTAAGTTTGTCTGCACCAAGTAATAGAAGAACAGCCCAACCTATCCAATTCAATCTTCACCCAACTAGTCCAAAATATGAATTTCAGCCTGTCTGCCACCCCCCACCCCCCAACGTGCCTAGGGTTTACATGCCCCTACTCCGTACGGTTGCCAAGATTTACTTAGTAATTTCGAGTACACAACCTACCTGCCTACCTACCTACCTACCACTCTGGCCATATGCTAGGCAGTGTCTCATCAGCCATATGTAAATAAAGGGTCACTGCATGTGCTTAAACGTGAAAGCATGCAGTTGTTTCAGTCAAAATATATTCCTCACATCAACTATTGGATATTAACCAACGGAGCTATATTTTTATGTATTAATATTACAAAGCCAGAGCTATCGGGAATCTTTCATCTCCAACCTCGGACCTTATATTAGGTGCTGCATCCATGGTGATTGGTGAGGCCTAGGACCACTATATGCTTTACCAGATGAGCACCCATAAATATGCATCAGGATCCTCGCCGGATCCATTCCCTAGGGATCCTGCAATTCTGTATGTTTACCGTATATCGTGCGATCAGTTTTTGTTAGGTATTATTTACATTTGAATTTTATATTTTATATTTTAAATGATTTCTGATCGCACGATATACGATGAACGGACAAGATTGTGGGATCCCTAGGGAATGGATCCGGCGAGGATCCTGGTCCATCAAATATGTATACCCCTAACAAGTAGTATAGAACATATGACGCGTTATCTCAGTAACCGTTAATAATCTCGAAATCTAAACCCTAAATTAATTAAAAGATGGACTAGCTAGATATGTCTCGTATGAAGGTCCTTGTTTTTACATTGTTGGGACGCTGGCTTACAGTTACTTAACCTGCTTCCTTAAAGTTAACAAATCTACACACACACACACCATACATTATATGCTAATGATCTAATATTAACATACTGCACAAATACATCCACCGGAGAATAAAGTTATATCAGAGATATAACCTAAGAGATACCGTTGATATATGAGAGACTCACTACTAATACTACCGAGATATTTTGTGCTAAAACACTATATCTAATAATATGTGGTCAAGTTGAAAATAATAGCGGTGATGTTGGTAATGTGGCATGCTAAACCTAAAAATTTATTAGCAATAGCTAAAAAGCAGACTGGGATAGCTTAAGGAAGAATATATATGTGTAATACAAATTGCCATCCATTTAATGTTATTGAGATCGATGCGAGAGTTCTGTCAATAGGTAGTAAAAAATGAAGAATGGCGCAAGGGTAAAATGAGATTAGTACTTCAAGCTCTATGAAGCTGTCATGTCTTTTTAAGTTAAGCTCCCCATAATTATAGTATAGGGTGGTCCACAACCCTAGCTATCTAGCTCTTAATTTCACTCTCACCAAATTGTCACTATATGTAATGATGATGGTCATCTATCTGGCCACATTTTTATATACTAAGTATTAATTTGTTTAAATACTTACTAATTAACGAAACCCAGCAAACCCTAACAGTGGTCCTCCATCATCTGAACATTTTATAGTATATAAATGTACGTAAGTATATATATACATACATTATACATATAGATGTATTATAGCTCCTAAATCGACAATTAGACGGTATCTTAATTTACAAAGTCTTCTGCAGCATCTTTTGACGCAATGCTTTCGGGTATTTACATCTGCATGTTACAGACATATAAATAAATAATAACCAACTTGAATATTTTTTTTCCAAGAACAATGCAGTTTTAAGTTTTAAGTGGGCTATAATTATGTTTGTGTTAACTTATATACTGGGTTACATATAAATATGTCATATATGCAGTTCATTACATTGCCAATGCATGCTTTCAAGAAAAGGACTGCAAAAAAGATTAGATAAAAAAAATTGAGTAAATTGTAGCAATTTCCCTCAACTAAAAATTCATTACTATTGGTCCCTAAATTTATCAAAATGTGTAGCTATAGTTTCTTTCGTCAATTCCGTCAGAATTCTATCAAAATGATTTATGTTGGAAAGACTATTTCTAGAATTGAGTTAAAGTTAAGAGACTATTTAGAGAAAATCATCATGATTAAGTAATTTGAAAACAAATTCTTGACAAAAGGTTTTTCACACTAATTGCAAATGCACGTTATATAGATTGATATGGATGGCCCTGCGAAAGATTTACTTTGCCCTTCATAGATCACATGTAATTGGTAAGGATAATGATCGAGAGACTAAATTTGTAAACTAAATTTTATAAACTAAATGAAATAAAAGTTGATAATTGGATTATGACTTAAGAAAAACGTGTTCATTTATATTGGTGACACATCATTTATATTTAATTCGGTTTAGTTTAGTTTGGTTCGGTTTTTCAAACTTCTGAAACCGAAGCGGACTAATAACTTTCGATTTTGTTCGGTTTCTTCAAGTTCAATTTCGGTTTTGTCAATTTTGACCCGTGACCAATTCTTTTTTTTTTTTTTGGTTTTTTAAGCCCACCCCTACCAAAGCAGAGGAAGACAAAATTGTCAAAGTAAAATAAGAGTGTACATTTTTTTTCTTTTTTTCCGAAGTCAAGGTAAATGATGAAAGTATGATATTATCAGTTCAATTTCTAACCAGCCAATTTGCAGCAATACTAGTAGTTTACTACTGAAATCGTCTTAAAGTAAGAAAAACAATAACAAGACCTCAACTTCTTTTTCGTTTGTTTCTAGGAGCGAATTATAGACCACACAACGTGAAATTCCTACACTTCGATTCTTTTTTATATGTATAGATACTTTTTTATTTGTAGTTGGTCCCTATTAATATATCTTATGACTTATTGTCTTACTCTCATAACCACCGCAATTAGGGCATCAAATGACAAAAAGTGGTTGAAGTTACATTTTTATTTTTACATTATAGCCGACGTTTCAAAACATTATAATTTAAGTGAAGAAGAGAGCACATTCCTCTAGTCAACTTGATTAGTTCGCATCTCTTTCTATAGAAGTCAACCTTGGGATAGTACATGTCAATTTCAGAATATAATTGAAATAATTACCATATATTTATGTAGAAGTCAGCCTTCTTTGGATTGGATCCATGTCAATTTAACAATATAATCGAAATAATTATTCATATATTTATAACTAGCTAGGATTAATTAATATATGGCATGCATCTGTGGTGGTACCACCAAGTTGCATGAGCATTTGTTCACACCTTTAATTGTTCTATATAATACCACACCTACTGATCTTAGTCGTCACAAATCAAATCTACTTGCCTCTATAAGCTTCTAATATATATATGGCAGAAGGGGGCAAAGGAACGTTGCAGGTTTCAGCTGTTTCCATGAATCTCAACGGAGATCGTGAAAATAGTGCGATACCGATCACAACTTCTTTGCCTATGAACGGTGGAAAAGGCACTTACAGTTACTTCAACAACTCCTGCAGCCAGGTATAATCATATGTATTTATGTTTTTTTTTTAAATATATATAATGCATATCACGGATGCATGAAACCCTAGATACGTCAGGCATGACGTGGACTTTACCAATATTATTATAATCATGTGCATGCTAGACATACATTCTCCTACGCACATAGTCTAAGAAAATTTTAATCACCTAGATTTTAATCTAATAGCAGATTACAACAATTTTCTTAGGTCATGTAGTCAACGAGGACAGGCTCTATATACATGCATGATAGTTTTTATATCAAGCTTCAGTTTGTGTTTTCATTTGTTGCTGGCAGAACCAACATAGGGGTACTGGTTGCAAATGACCCCAAAAAATTCAAATAGATTCTAACCAAAAACAGTTTTTCTCCTCCAATGGTTTTAGCTTAACATTTTAGCACAAAATTATTAAAAAAATGATATTAGCCTTTTTTCATAATGTTTTAAAAAAAAAAATTTTATGTAGATTATTCTAATTTACTTTTATGAACATTTTAACCTAAAAATTTTTAAATCCGACAACACTAAACCTACCTCATTCTTACACATATGCACCACATGAAAGAACATGAAAAACCACACTACCTACCTGATTCTTAAACACAAATACATAGGTGGGTACAAAGAAAAAAAGAAAGAATTGTTTGACGAAAGTGGATTTTATGTGGATGTTTGAACAAATACATATATAGGTATTTATAGAGTTTCTAGAGGAATTTTGATTAATTTTTTTAATTGTTTTAGCCGTTGGATTTAATTTTACGTAAGATCTCTTGTTTTTACCCTTATATTTGCTCATATTCGATCTCAACCGTAAGATTTAATTTAATGTACTAATAAATTTGATTTTTTTTAAAAAGATTGAATCTGAGCCAACGGTCCAACCTCGTGGATTGTCCCATAAAAAAATAGTCGTTGATATTTCCACAAGCGACCGACAATGTCAGCATCTGGGTTTCAGCCACTAACATTGCCTCATTTTTCTAGGTTAATTTTGGCCCAAAAATAAATTTCAACCCAAAACTTTTTATAGCCTAATGATTGGAGAAGCTTTGGGTGAGTTTAGAACATAAATTTTAAGTTTTAATACAACCATTACCATTGAGGTTGGTCTACTGCCTAAGGCAACAAAATAGGGAGACCTTGAATGAATATTTTTTTTTAATTTAAACATATCAAAACTACAACCTTTCCATAATTGGGAAAGCTTTTTCAGTGGTCAATATTGTGACGAATCTACATTGTATTGAAAATTAGTAGTTGAATAATAGCTTGGTTGTATACAATTAAAAATACATTTGATTCTAATGAATATATATTGTGATCCGATGTTTGTAAACTATTTGAACGAAGGTATGCTAATTTTTTTTTTTTTTTTTTATAAATGATATTATCTATATAAGGGGTGAGGGAGTGGTTAAGCCTTACAATAGGCTAACAATAATGTTGTTCAAATTCGTTTTTAGAGAGAATTGAACCTAAGACTTATCACTTATAAATAAAAAGAAATACAAATATATTATAGCACTAAATGTCAAGTAAGATCAATTTTTTAAAGTTCTTGTTTATGATCCCATAGTTGCAATTCCTGGCTCCGCCTCAAACCGTATGACGCCCATATATTTGCTACCTACAAGCCTAGCTAGCTAACTACATGCCCTACGATCTTGCCCTGTTTTTTTTCCTTAAATTCACACCAGAGAATAAAAGGCTAAAGAGAAGACTTCTGTATTTGGAGAGAGAGACACTTAATTTCTTTTTTTTTTCTTATATTTTTAAAATTTTAACAATGTATAATAGTTCCATCCAACTGCATATCGGGTTCTCCATTAACATTTTAATATGGGCTTTAAATTTAACAAGTCGAAATTGGTTTCTTTCCAATAAAGTTTGGATTCACCTCCACTACCCACATATTGGTTTATTAAAATGCTGGACGGACAAATACAAAACCTTTGATTTTGTAATTTTTTTAATTAAGAGAATTGTTATTAGCATTTTTAAAATCTCAATTTGCACTCTAAACTTTATATAATTAAAAAGAAAAATACATTTGTGAAGAGTACTGTATAATGAAATTTTTGGAATGTTAATAGCAATTCCCTTAATTAATACTATTTTAGATACGAGCTTAACCAAGTTTGTTATAGAGCAGTATGCTCCCCTTTTGAAATCTATTTAACTTATTCTCTTTGTAATATAGATGAATTTTGTAATAGGTTAATAGAACCATTAATTTTGCAGAGACAGTGCACTGAGGATGAGAAGAGAAAATTCATTGAGGAAATTGAGCAGAAGCTTGATATGAAAAAACTCTTCTCCCTTTCAAACACCATTCGTCTTGCGGACTTGGGATGTGCCACTGGACCAAACACTTTCATGATAATTCAAGACATACTAGAAGCCATGCAACGCAAACACCAATCCCAATTATCCCAATCATGTTTCAACGATGTTCAACATTCTGATGATCATCAAATGCCTGAATTTCAAGTCTTCTTTAACGACCAAGAGTCGAATGACTTCAACACCCTCTTCACCTCTCTCCCACAAGACAGGCAATACTTTGCAGCTGGCGTGCCCGGTTCTTTCCATCACCGTTTGTTTCCCGAGTCATCTATCCACTTTGTGCATACCTCATTATGTCTCCACTGGATCTCTAAGTCGCCGGAAGTATTGCAAAACAAGGCCTCTCCGACATGGAACAAGGGCAGGATTCACCACACAAGTGCACCGGATGAAGTAGTTGAGGCTTATGCGTCCCAGTTTGTGGAGGACATGGAGAATTTTTTGAATGCTAGGGCCAAAGAGCTTGTGCCTGAAGGAATGATGGTAATGATCTTGGTAGGAATTCCCAAAGGGACGCCTTATTCAGAAATTCCAATGGGTATGATGTGCAATTGTTTATCGTCTAGCCTCATGGATATGGCAAAAGAGGTAATATTGATAACTCATTATAAGCTCCTATAATTTACATTAAAATTTATTAATAATCAACTTTGAGGTGTGTTAGGATATCACATAATGGACAAAAACAATGAAAGTAGAATTTCACATATTGGGGTTCTAATAGCGAAGAGAGGCCAATAAGTGTTTTCACCTGGAAATATAAGTGGATAGAACTTTTTCAATGAAACTGCATTAAACAGGCAATAAAGCACGTTTATAGTGTCGGTTTATTGTATGTTTAATTAGTGTTCTCTAATAAAAAGTTTTATTTTTTATTGAAGCAAAACCATATTTTTTTACTTCTTTTTTCCCCCTCAAAGAGGAGATATTTTAGAGTATAAAACAATTGTTGTAATAAAATAGATTTGATAAAAAATAAGTTAATAGATAGATCACCAGAAAAGAACAACTGCCTAACTTAACTGAAAATATATATGGTGCCATTTCTTTTCCTTCAACAGGGAATAATTGAAGAAAGTAAAGTGGATTCCTTCAACTTGCCATTTTATGCAGCCTCTCTAGAGGAGATGGAGGAGATATTAGAGAAAAACGGGTGTTTTAAGATAGAGAGAATGGAGTCGACAAACCCAGCAGCATATCTGAAAGGTGGTCCAGTTGACATACCAGCTTGGGTGACGAATGTGAGGGCTGCAATGGAGGGAATGTTTGCCAAACACTTTGGAAGTGAGGTTATGGAAGAAATGTTTGGAAGATTGACCGATAAACTTGTAGACATTGCCGACCTCATAAACTCACGATGCGAAGTCAAAAGTCAGTTGCTTGCTGTTCTCAAGCGTAAATGACTCTGACTGAAACTGGAAAGTAATGTTACTAGCTTCATGTTATTGAAGAAAATAAATATAAGCAAAAGGAGAGATGAATTTGGAATTCATCATCAACTGGGAGTCTGGGACTCATGCTTTTGTGTACGTGTGTGACGTTAATATTCAGAAGCGTAAAATCCACTTTTGAGTGCTAGAAACAAGAAACCAAAGATAATGTATGAAGATAATTAATAAAAGTCTTTTTATATTAGCACCCCACAAAATGTTGAATGCACTCCATATTAAAATTTAAGGAAAACTAACAAAAAGTAAAAAAAAAAAAAAACTTCTCCTTTAACGAAAAACCCTTTTTAAAAGTATAGTGAATAGTGCCAGTTAAAGGTAAAAATTTGGTTTTTCGTTAAAAGTGAACTGTACCGGGAGAGTTTTGTTAAAACTCCATAAAATTTAATATTAAATAACTTATTTATCCTACTATGCAATGACAATTTTTACGTTATTAGGTTTAAAAAAAAATTATATATACACTCCAAATTACTTTTATATCTTCTTCAATTATCAAAATCCCTCCGACCCTCAATTGTTGAACAAAACTCTAACCAATGAAACTACAAACATGTTGATTGAGAAAAATTATTTTTGACGAATGAAACACGAAATCGATGTTTCGGAAGTTTCACATGAGGTAAGACTTCATATTATTTATTGTTTTAGTGATTTTGATGACATCGATAATTATTTAATCTTACTTTTGATGCGTTATACAAGCTTCTATGTTCATATTCATCTTTTAGGGATCACAGAGATTACATGAAGAATTAAACACTTACAATTACCACCAAATATTAAAAACAGACGACGTGGGTTTAAATGGTGGAATTGAAAACAACCCACATATGCTTTAAATCCCATGCGGCATCTTTTGTCAAAATTTTAGTTGGCATTTTTTGTCCAAATTAAAAGCTTTATAAGATTTAAGAAATGTGAGGTGTATAGAAAATATAAGGTGTATATTAAGAATGTGGGGTGTGAGGGTATTATGGGGAAGTATGTATGGGGTGTATTAAGATAATTTTTAATTAAAAAAACAAATATGGGATGTATTAAATATGTAAGATTTATTTAATAATTTGTGGGATGTTAATATAATAAGCGTTAATAAAAATATCGAAATCGTAACTCAAAGCATACGAAATGCTCGTTATATAAATTGATATGGACGGCCCTGCAAAAGATTTGCCCTACATATATGGATTACATGTAATTTGTTTAAGTAAATGATTTGTTGATCATTTGCATCTAGGAGAATAATAAAACTGGTTTTATTCATTTTTCCGAATTCCTTGTCAATTAAAATAAAAGATCGAGCACTTTGCAGTTGATGAGAAAAGTTGGGCTTTTTCAAACGTGCAGGAAGGACATGCGAGGAAGAGAAGGATAAATTAAAAAAGCCAAAGGAGGAGAAGAGTGCTTTTTTCTTTTATACAAGTCGAGGTAAAAAGCTAATCAAAGTGGAGAAAATTATATACCACAACGTGAAATCCGTACTCTTTGATTCTTATTTATACGTAATATAGATACAGTTTTTAACTAATAGTTGGTTCTTATTTATATTTTTATGGCCGAGCATCTTATTTTAAATTTATCTAAATTATAGAGAATGAGATCCGAATTTACATGCAGATCAAAAAAAGATTACAATGCTCTAACTAAATTGATTAGCACACATCTCCTTCTTTAATAGTCATCCTTCTTTGGATTCATGCATGTCAATTTCACATATAATTGAAATAATTATCGTATGTTTATAACTAGCTAGGATATAAGACATGCATCTGTGGTGGTAGCACCACGTTTCATGCGCGCGCATTTGTTCACGCCTTTAATTGTTCTCTATAAGTCCACACCTACTGATCTTAGTTAGTCTTCAGAAGTCAAATTTACTTGCCTCTGTAAGCTTCTAATTAGATATATGGCAGAAGGGGGCCAAGGAACGTCGCAGGTTTCAGCTGTTTCCGTGAATCTCAACGGAGATCGTGAAAATAGTGCAAAACCGGTCACGGTTTCGCTGCCTATGAACGGTCGAAATGGAATTTACAGCTACTCCAGGAACTCCTACCACCAGGTATATATAGTATATACCTATGTATGTAATATGCCAATGTATTTATTTGGTACATAGATGCATATATATCACGGATGCATGAAATCCTAGCTATGTCATCCATGAGGGGATGACTTTTTTATTTATTTTTTGTTTGAGGTGAAAGGGTAGCGAATCAGTACATATTTTATCCAAGTGCTGGATGGACAAATTGATTGTTCCCAACTATTCCAGATAATTAACTAGTTATTAGAACAAAACAATTTTGTCCTTGGATTCATACACAATCACATTAAAAATTGTAATTACGTAATCAAATTAGCTTAATTGAACCAATAATTTTTGCAGAAACTATCCGCTGGACTTGAGAAGGGAAAAATCATCGAGGAAATTGAGCAGAAGCTTGATATGAAAAAGCTCTCCTCCTCTTCAAACACCATTCATGTTGCGGACTTGGGATGTTCCACCGGACCAAACACTTTCATGATAATTCATGATATACTAGAAGCCATGTAACGCAAATACAAATCCCAATTATCCCAACCATGTCCCCATGATGATCAAATCCCAGAATTTCAAGTCTTCTTTAACGACCTAGAGTCGAATGACTTCAACACCCTCTTCACCACTCTTCCACAAGACATGCAATACTTTGCAGCCGGCGTGCCCGGTTCTTTCCATCTCCGTTTGTTTCCCGACTCGTCTATTCACTTTGTACATTCTTCATTATGTCTCCACCGGATCTCCAAGTCGCCGGAAGTATTGCAAAACAAGGCCTCTCCGGCCTGGAACAAGGGCAGGATTCACTACACAAGTGCACCGGATGAAGTAGTTGAGGTTTATGCGTCGCAGTTTGCCGAGGACATGGAGAATTTTCTGAATGCTAGGGCCAAAGAGCTTGTGCCTAAGGGAATGATGGTATTGATCTTGACTGCAACACCCAAAGGGATGCCTTATTCAGAACTTCCAACGGGTATGTGGTACGATTCTTTATCGTCTGTCCTCATGGATATGGCGAAAGAGGTATATAACTCATTACTTATTACTAGGGCCGACCCTGAGTATTGAGGGGCCTGGGCAAAACTTAGATGGAGGTCTTTTATTTTTTTTAATGTTATATTTTATTATTATTATTTTTTTCAATTTTTTCATCTATAAAACTAAAATATTATAAGTTACTACAACAAAAAAAAATTGTTTGATCAGCTAGGTGTTTTTCCTTACCTTCAAAGGTCCTGAGTTCGATACATAGATAATATTATCTTTTGCATTTAATCTATTTTATATGCATCTGAATACATGTAATGAAAATTTGGGGGCCCTCCCGAATCGGGGGTCCTGTACGGTGGCACCTGTTCAACACCCTCAGGGCCGGCTCTGCTTATTACCTCCTATAGTTTCCATTGAAAGTTACCAATAATTAATTTTGATATGTGTGTTAAGAACATAATTAATGGAAAAAAATAGTACAATTTCACATAGAGAAGTGATTTATGCACATTTTTTTTTTTTGCACAAATTAATTGAAAATGAACGAAAATAAAATGACAACGAAACACGTTTACTGTCATTTATTATTTGTTTATTAATTTTTAATGAAATATTTATATTTTTTATTGATACAAAATCATATATTTTCCCCTTTTTTTTCTCAAAGAAGAGTGTGTTTTAAAATATATATAAAACAAGTGTTGGACCACAAACTTCATCAAATAGCTTTCATATAAGAAAAACATATACTATATAGTTAAAAGAAACATCACTAGAAAACAACAATTGCATAAATTAATTAATGTTGGGAATATGATGCATTTCGTTTCCTTCCATATGTAGGAAATAATTGAAGAAAGTAAAGTGGATTCCTTCAACTTGCCATATTATGCAGCCTCTGTAGAGGAGATGGAGGAGATAGTGGAGAAAAACGGGTGTTTCAGGATCCAAAGAATGGAGTCGTCAAACCAATCAGCATGGATGAAGGGTCCAGTTGACATTCCAGTTTGGGTGAGGCATATGAGAGCTGCAATGGAGGGAATGACACTTTGGAAGTGGGGTTATGGATGAAATGTTCGGAAGATTGATCAATAAACTTGTAGACATTTCCGACCTCATAAACTCAAGATGCGGCGAGAAAACTCAGTTGCTTGCTGTTCTCAAGCGTTTATGACTCTCACTAAAACTAGAAATTCATGGAACTAGCTTCGTTTTATTCGAGAAATTAAATTATCCCAGAAGAGTGGTTTGTAGCCTGTATTTCAAATTTTCTTCATGGACATACACACGTAAGGAATAACATTAAAAAGGTAATGGTTAGTGCTTGCCATATTCAATGGGGAGCAATAGCACGATTTAAATTTCAATGCATTACCAACGAAAGCACATATCTACCAAATTAGCACATTAAAACATAGTAATAACATATACAAAATAGCTAAGATCAGAATAAGTGAGCTCAGAATAAGGGCAATCGGTTAGCAATTGTGAGCTTTCAAACCAACTTTCAAGTGTCAGAAACAAGAAACCGATGATCAATCTACTATACAACAAGCTGATGTCCTCAAAAGTTTTACCATCAGCATAAATAATTTAACTTTGATTTCATCTTTGTTGAGAGGTTACCCCATCATCAAGAAACAAATATCAAATATTTCAACTTTCTCAACTCAAATGCAACCCACTCCGGAATTGGCGTTCTAGAGATGACATGTGTAGAGACCTTCTCATACTTGCCTTATCTTTTTTGATGACGACGAGCTTGTCATAAACGCACCACGGAAAGCTGATGAAATGGTCACGATTCAGCCCCTCATTGTATGTGCCAAAATAATCAGGATGATATGTGACATGGTACCAAGCTGAAGCTTTTGCGTATACATCATCAGCTCCGGAATCTAGACCTGTTCCCTTCTCATTGAAC